TTAGGTTAACAATAATTTCACAGCCATTTTCTTATTTTTTTCGAGTGAAATTTTTTTTCATCCCCATCTTCCAATAATTTTTATCCTGTTTCGTCCAATCAAATAGCTAGTTTTAAGTTCGTTATAATCGGTCGTTTATTTCTTAAATTTGATATAAAATGTCAGGACACGACAGCATATTTTCTTCCAATCACGGACGGTAGTAACGGGCAAAGCACAAGCTCTGTCGTTTCTCACGTTGTCACAGAAACCGATGACCTATTCTTGAGCACATTGTATGTCGTAGCGTCCCAATCACTTGGAGCGTTGAAGAGCGCTGTTGGGGCAACTGCTTAAAGTCGATTGTGAAAATCATTTCAAATTGATATTGAGCAATAAGTGAAATGAAACAATGTCCGAATCCCACAACTGCTTTTCTATGTCTAAATCTAAAATAGGTCGGCATATCTACGAAACAAACTAATCATAAATTAAAAGATATGTTATGTAAAGTTCAATTATGTAGAATATCACAAAAATTATTAAGTTGGTGTATTGATCAGTAAGAATGAAAGTACTACAAAAATCTGAAATTTTTTTAAAAGGTCACCGGTAATTTATCGATATTCCCATACCACGAAGAAAACAAACCTCTCTCATGTCAGTCAATCGTCAGTGCTGAACTAGAACATCTATAGATTTTCTAAATGCCAACACAATATGCGGACAACTGTAGACACATATTCGACTGAAAAATTGTTGAATTCTTGGATAGAGGGAACACTAATATCACCAGAGAAATTTAAGAAGCTTGACACTCAGCGATCAACAACACACATCGAAGTCGATCCAATTCACCAACTAATCACAAAAATCATGGGCAAACATAGGACCACGAAGTAGATAGAATCAAAATAAAGAGATAGGCAATGACAGGCTAGGGGTCAATAACAGCCAGTGATGATCGAGAGACAAGTAATGAGTCATGTGTGGTGCAATTCGAACACTTCAATGTTACCAGACGTTTGTGCTGATAATGTTGTTCAGAAGAGCAATGAAAGTTTCACGATCAAACGATCAGAACCGGAAAACAAAGCCACCCAAGTTTCTTTACTCTCCATTTGACATGCAATATTTGGTTTGTATGACAATTTCGTCTCCATGGTCTCATTCCATTACAATACGATGATGATGATGATATTGATGAAGTACACAACCCACTTAGCTAAGTATGCATTTCAAATGGTTTTGGATGGAATAGAAGAAGCTTTCGTTTAACGGGCTCCGTATCTAGTAGCAGTGGATCACCAATACCTTCAGGAAGGAACCTAGGTATATAATCGGTGAAGGAGGAAAACGAAGTCGGTAAATCATAGCAAAATACTATCCTTAGTCCTTAAGAACATGACACGTTTTCTCTTAATGGATTCCTGGGAAGTCGCTTGGACTAGCTCGCTCGGCAGCGAATTCTAGTATTTGACTACTACTAAGTAGTAGGAGTTGTGTCTACAGTCCGTCCTCCTGAGTCGGGTCTCCAGTTTCTGGGTGTTACTCATTAGGTTTGTGTTGGAACTGAACTTGACTACGTGTTTAAGATGTCCTAGAGTATTTAAGATGTTGTCAGTCATTAGGCCACCTCTAAGCAGTTTATACTATAATGGGTAAATGTTGAATGATCGGAGGCTCTCTTCACAATGCTTGAATTTGAGTCCCTGAACTGATTTCGTGGCTCGCCGTTGGATACATTCCGAAGTGTCGGTATCCTTTTGGAGTGAAAGAGGAAATACTACGATTCCGTACTCTAAATGGGGACAAATAAAACTGTTGAAAATTATGTGGAAAGTTCTTTCGTGAAACTGACCAAAAATGCGCTTCAATGTTACAAGAGTGAGGTTTACTCGAAAGGCATTTTTGTCACAGCTAGCGTAAAACTTCAAATCGTAGCATACCATAATTCTTAAATTTTTTCAACTTAAGATACATCTAGGTTGTAGCTGTAGCATGCGAAATGTCTAAGATGGACTATTTTACACTTTGAAGTGTTAAAGGAAAGTCCGTTGTCATCCGCCCAACTTCGAAGTCGAACCAGCTCCTCATGAAAAGCCAATTCGACCTCGTGGTTGCGTATCTCTCTTCAAGGTTTCACCAGCAAAAAGTAGTAAGTCTGACGATATCTGTCATGGAAGATCGTTTATTTAAATCAAGAAAAGAAGAGGTTCTAATACTAAACCCTAAGGGACCTCATTAAAATGTTCTATACTCTGGGAGAAAGTGAATTTATGGACTTCATTCATTTTAGTGAATAACAGAATGAAACAAGTCAAATAAGATAATGTTTTTGAATATATATACTTCACACATTCGTTAATACATACAGATGGTAAGGGAAAAGAAGCGGATTGGAGAATGTCAACATGCTTACTCCATTTACTCAAACTTGCTTACGCTTGTTATGCCTCATGAAGTATAGGCAGCTGACAAAGATTCCCCACCCGAACCTGTCTAGGGCTCGTTTCTAGATGTCCTCAAGTGCTATTTGTTCTTATGATGTCTGCCTTCGATTCCCGACGAATCTTGGAAACCACCAGGTGGTGTCCTGAATCTATGTCAGCTCCTCTCCTGGTTCTCACGTATTCCATTGACCTTCTGAACTTTTTAGTGATGCAAATATGATCACTCTGGTTCTGTGTAGTGTAATTCGGTGAGATCTATATAGTTTGTGCATGTGTCTATGGGTGAATATTGTGCCGCCAATAACCATTCTGTTGAATGCACATAAATTTGCGAATCCCTCGTTCGTTTCTCCTAGTCAGTCCATGTCATCTTCATACGCGGTGTTGTCTACCCTGACTTTGGCGTTTAGATCTCTCATCAGGATGGTCAGTTGCCTGCTTGGACATTTCTCCACGACCGACTTCAGCCTATCGTAAAACTGGTCTTTATCTTCTTCACTGCTATCATCGATGGGCGCATAACACTAGATAACATTCATTGTGATTATCTCCTTCTTTTCTTTGAAGGGTGCTTTGATGAATCAGAACCCATGAAATTCCCATCCTATAAGATCTTCACGTGCTTCTTCGGACAACATGATTGCAACTTTCTGCGTATGCGGAGCACTTACTTCTTCGTGAGCAGAGTGGAGCACTATCTCTCTCGAAGCTAATGTTTTCTGTCCAGCATGTATCGAATGGGTTTCACTGATCTTGAGCACCTCCAAGTTGTATCTCTTTATTTCCGTTGCTGTTTGACTGGTCCTTTTAGTCTCCCACATTGTTCGGACAATCTATGTGCCTACATCAATTGTTGCTGTTGTTGTTAGAAGAGGCATCGACCTCGTGACTTCCGAAGAATCTCAGCTTTCACCCTGAGGTGTCATAATTCTTGTGAATGAAGGTTTTTGAAATTCTATTGAACGACACCTCGCGACTATCACACGCATTTCAGTTTATTTTTATTTTTATGTGTTCCGTAACCATTGACTTTAATTATATTTTCAAACATCATTCACGCGAACATGTCTCTATTCAATTCGATCTTTAACGCTACTTACTCATCGCGTGAAAAACATATTTTGTACATCGACCAATGTTCACAAAATAATCACATATAAATGAATCTAAAGTGATGTTCCTGGAGCAGTTGATGTAAAGAGAGGCCCACCACCAACTAAATTTGATCTGTTTTCTGTATATAAACAGTGAGGTGATGGTCAAATTTCATTGCTTTTTGGACAAATTACTAAACAGTCAGGTCACTGAATATCAGACAGTTTGCCGATCGCTGTCAAGGTCAAGAACAAGCGACGCTCATTAATCGTCTGTACGCCATGGACTAGCCCATGCTCCAGTGATCGTGTTTTGTTTATTGCACCCATTTTTACTGATATGTTCCTGTAAGAACGTTGTTTTTTGTTGAACGATCATTAAAGTAGATATAGTACCTAGATAAGACAAAAGTTTAATCCACATCAGGCCTTAACGGTGAGGTGTAATTTCATCATGAGCTGGTTGTCCAGCACATTCCCGTCCAATTCAAGTTGTCCCCTCCATCAACGACTTATATAACCAAAGTTGGTGATCTAATACAGTAAATTTTGGAGTTAAATTAGCAAGATTGACCGATATAAAAATGTGATGGTTAATAGAACCTGACGTTAAAATAATGAAGTACTTTGGATTAAGGTTAATCAAATACTTAAGGTATCGAAATGATAACATTATATCACCAATTCTATCCACTTCCTCAAATTTGTTTGGTACGTCTAATAGAGTAATAATATAGGATAACCGAAGTTTTTTGGTTTAGTGGATGAATAGGCGAACATACGATGTTTCTTCCTGCAAGGATTTATGAATGAAACACATAACTGCGACGACTTTCACAACTATACGATAAGTGAAATGACATTACCCAAAATAATGGTTTATCAAGATTTGGGACTCATAATGAGCAACGACTTGAGGATTACAAGTAAATATGTGGCCTCTTCTGCCAAAGACTTCAGGGGTCCAATGGGCTGTTTCGTCACTAGACATTTCCGAAACTGCATTTAGAAAATGGGATTCAAACAGGTATGAATTGGAATTGCCTGAGCGAGTTCAACAGTAAGGGACCGAAGTAGTGTAAGGTCTTACTGACCTCACTTTTAAAAACATACGGAGATGCCCCAACATATTTCCGTTATCTCATCGCAGGCTACGATGTGATTTTATATTGACTTACCGCATATTGAGAAATCATTTTGGTGTTATTATCATTATTAGTAGTATTCAGAAACAGCTTATTGGTACGAAAGTGTTGAAAAGAAACCATTTTGACTTTTTTCAGATGTCCTATATTTTCCTTTCAACTGGAACTGATAATCTGAGAGGGCATTCTAAGAAATATCAAGACTCGAGACCAAGTTGTGTACATCTGGGGTTTCATTTCTCGCACCGAGTGATGAAATACTGAAAGTACCTTGAGGGCTGTCAAAGTATAAATAAGCGAATATTCAATACTGCGCTACTGAAGGATATCACAGAGTCAGCGTTTCTTGCGGTCCTTTTGATTGGTTAGAGTATTATATAGTATTTTTGACCACATCCTGTAAACTAAAGTTTCAAATTTTAATGGCAAGCATATCCTGATACTTTTTAAGTTGTCATTAATGATTCCTAATTAGAGCGTGAAGTCTAATACCTACCTTCCCTAGCTTCGAATTTTGGGGATAATTTAAATTATTTTAGGTCAATTGACCTATTTTGTGAAAGCCACTATAGTAAACCTTGGGGAATTGCACCAAACCCTCAAAATTTCCCCAGATCTGGGGTAATTACTCTAAACTTGAGGTTTTCCCCCAAACTTTGGTGAGGGTCATTTGACTTTGGTGGTTTCCCCAAAATTTACCCGAAATTCCCCAAACTTGAGAGATTGGGCTGCATTCACTCTTATAAGTCCGAAGCATGCTGCCGAGCGACCTAGGGCTATGATGTGTTTGTTATTTCATGAATTAAGGTTTCGTTGTAGTTCATTTCACCGTAGCAGTAAATAAGTCCCCAAAATAAATAGTTCTGTAAGTCTTCGGTATTGATGCTGACTTCAGTTTTACTGGTCACACTCTGGCTACATGCACTCGGTCACGCATTCACACCAGATCTCGATTACTCACGTACCCGCGTGGATACATTGTGCTATGCACCGATTGCAACTGTTAACCAGCGTAAACAAAACGCTTCTTGACATGTCGATACCTTCCCAAATTTATCTTCGAACCCCTTTATTTTTGACTTGATTTGACTGGGTTGGTTTAATTTGATTATAAAAGTTACGTGTAACAGCGTTATCAAACTGAATCTATATGACATCCTTAGTATATTTAGGGCTGTATTGAGTCTGCAAAATCTTGAATCGTAAGAATTAGCACAGGCCGCTTCACTTACTTTTTTCCAGTAAAACTAATGAAATCAGCATCAATGTCGAAGAGTTACAGAACTATTTATTCTGGGGATTTATTACAGCTACAAGTCACTCCCCCCTGACAGCTTACTATGTTCAGCGGCATCTAGTCGTCTTTCCTTAATATAATCTACCATGTCAGTCAGTCATCAGCAACTAAGGGACCACTTAATGTAATATATCAGTAAAAAAGCAAAATGAAAATTTCAAATCATCGTAAGGTTTGTTAGGTTTTACATCTCTTCCGTCCTGGAATAAAAGGATATGTGAGTGCATTGTGGAACTACATTCGTACGTGCATAAGGACAAAAAACGGGCGAAAAAGGAAAGTAAACTTATATACATGCGTTTCGTAAACATGCGATTGCGTAAAAACGATTTTCGCAGAACGGTTTTTCGGTTTTATTCTTGAAAATTATACTCATATAAGCAAGCATATTAGCAACAAAAAACTGTATTCTTGGAACAGTAACTATGTATAGAAGCATATTAAAAATAGCTTGTTTTCTTTTTTTTGACAATGATACAAAATAAATAGAGACGAAACAAAATGTTATGTAGTGTCTCACGTACAGTAATCGCCTAGGTGTTCTGAAAACCTTACTCTCCTTCCAGAACTCGTTGTTTTTAGTCAGTTGTCAGTTACCACCGAAGTGTCTTCGTGATTGCTGATTGTCGGGTAAGGTGTCGTAGTCTCCCCTTAAACTAAGAGATTAAAATCACTTCATATCTTTCCTTCTGCGAACTAATTCTTTCTTCCTGTACTATATCCTTATATGCAATCTTTCTTTTATATATTACCACCATTGACTTAACCACTCCTATGAATCCGGTGTTCATCTTGCTGGGCTAATGCGGTATGGCGACTTGGACCGATGCATATACGTGCCTGGTCCTACGTTGTAGCTGACTGACTATGTATTCACGGTTGGAATTTCCACCACTGACATTATCTATAGTGCATAACTTCTCTGTAGCCTCATGAATGAGTTTATTTTGCGCAAAAAAACCCATTGCTAGTTGTTCATAAATTATAATACAACCTGATTAATGTTTATTTCAGGACTAATGGTATATTGTTAGGATTTATAGTAAGTCGATTGATCTGTAACGTGCAATCTACCGGAACAGAATCGGGCATTTAACATATCTAACTACTACTTTTATTCTATATGAACAAAAATAGTTTACCTCTATCATTTTTGATCTCTAGAACAATGTAAAAAAGTATTTCTGTTACCCTCTAGGTGTGACTTCTAAGTTGTGCTCTAAAACGTAATAGTCACGTTCTCAGTTTCGATCACCTCGTCTCAAAATTACACTTCTACTCGATTCGGTTGATTTTTGAGATTTTCAAGAATATCCCGCCAATCAATCACCTTCAGAGAAATAAAAGCGATACAATTATGGTTTTCTATCCGTTGTATAAGGTAAAAAGCTTATTAACAATTAACGTGACATCTTATATCCGACAAACTAGCTTGATTGTTGAGTTGTCTGTGTTTACGTTGAACCTAAAATGGCAGATATCTAGTCACAAACACCTTGTGAATAGCAGGTTAATAAACAGAACATCCACGACAGGCCTGTAGGATATCCTTCGTTGCTTTAGCAACTTCTGTCCTTACATTCAAAGGTATAGCTGGTGTAAACATTATACAGTTTTCAAAATCTTTGTATTCTTGCTTGTTTTGGCATATTTTTCGTAGGATGGTGTATGCTTAAACCAATGGAATAATTTGCCGAATTCTATTTCAGAATATTAAGGGCGAGTGTGAAGAATAAGCAACTGTAAAAACTTAGGGAAATGCCATTATGTGGCGCTTTTTTATTATTGGAAAGAAAGGAATTAGATATCTGAGGTTTCCAGGTTGATTAAACAACTTTTTCTTGGCTACGGGCACTTCCGTAGTATTTCACAATTGTCAGAACCACTTCTCTCGCTCTAGTATTCTTACCATTAATTAACTTTAAACCAACCCTTCAATATCTGTTATATTAAAACGCCTTCAAATGCCCTGGTATGGCCACGCCTATACAGCCTCTGCCATGGAATTTCTAATCACTGCCTCACGGCGTGGGCGTTATTTACGAAATTGATAGGACAAAAGGCAAATGTCTAGTGCTATAACCGAGTTGACGGATATAGAGGATCCACCTAGGAGAGTTGGAATTTCCCGATTCCAAACCAATAGTCCACATGGGTTCCAGGATTCTGAGGGAACAAATCGAGTATGAACCCATTGTTGGTCACTGGCTGCCATGGGTCTTCATCTCTGTTATATTTCTCTCTTACGGTTATAACCCAGCTATTCCTATTGCTTAGTATTCACGGACACCAGTTCACTCGACAAGTCCCCAAATCAGAACACGATTGAACAGGAAAGAGATGGAAGTGAGAAGCACAATAGGAAAACCGTTAGTATATTTATAGTTTTTACACGAGAATATTTCTAGAGTATTCTCCAAGTATCGACTAGCGCTGATTCGACAAGAATTAGCCAATCAGCGTGCGCCAAAGCAATCGTGCATTGAGCATGCTTTAATCCAATCTATGTCCTGCTAACAATCTCCTAACGTTGTTCCACTGCTTTGTGGATTATACCTTTAGATCAATGTTCACTGCGGCTCCCTAAGGAAACCACCTGCTTCAGTTTGGGCGCCGGACAGCATTCCAGCGTACACAAATCGAATGACGAAGTGTGGTGCATATATATTTAGTGCCTCTTTGTACCAATGTTTATGCGTCTAAATAAATAAATAAATCTCTGCTTACCTAACGACACATTCACGAAATCAGAATTGCTTATAATATCTTGTATGCCCTATGTCCTAGATGACTTGACTATCACGTTAGCTCAGTCGGAGATAGGTTGAATCATTCAAGAACGTTTCTTAAATTATTTGCAAAACTGATGCAAGAAATATAATATGAACCGTAAATATGTACGAATAGATAACTAACTAACAAATCATAATATGTAACCAATATGACATCCTCGTACTTCCTATTGACTTACTTATAATACACATCACTTCTCAGTGTGTAAACTTCCGGTCACTATGTCCTAAGTTTAAATCCCGCCCCACCTACTTCGGTTTGGGCAGTCAAGCGATATAATTAACCCTTGCAGTTAGTGTGGAGCGCACTCAAAAACCTGGTAAGAGTTTACTTTTTAAACACTTAAATATCCACTGTATGTAACTGCAACGTAGCAGAAATTTCGCTTTTCGAGTCATTAGTTAGTGAGCCTTTTTCAACTAATATATGTTGTTTATTATATGCTCCAGAACTATTAGAGGGAAGTTTGAATCATGCCCGTTCCCTTCTGGGTATTGTGCTGCTCGGAGTGTTGCACGTTTCAAGTCCATCATCGTATAAAGTCGAAAACGTGGGTTTGCAAAGTTTGCTCTTGCAAGCAGTCAGTTTTAAAGGTCAGATTTTGTTTCCTATCGAATGAAATTACATCCATTTCTCTCACTAAGGTTACATAATTTGTCGCAATTATGATTTGTTCTGAAGCTTTCCAAGTTCTTTGTTTTACGGGAATTACCGTAACCCTTTATGTAAATTCAAATGCTTGCTTAATCTCTGCTTACAAGCACTTTGATTATGGTCACTAATTATCATTTGCAATAATTTTTGGATTTCACTGACCTTGCAGGCTAATGTGCATGATATGGTACAAATTTATATGAATTTAAATACCTATTCTTCTAATAGCGTAGCAAAATAAAACAAGAAAAATTAGGTTTTAAAATCCCCCAAATGCCCTGGTACGGTCGAGAGTGGGGAGAGTCCGCTCTCCCTCTCGAAATGCTCTCACATGACCACGCGTATACAGCCTCTGCCAGGGAAGTCCTACTCACTGCCTTCACGTGGCGGGGGTGTTGTTTACGAAAATGAGAGGACGAAAAGCGAATGTCCGGTGTTTTAACTGGATCCCAAACCAATGGTGCACATAGATTCCAGTATCCTGAGGAAACAAATGGCGTATGAACCAGTCGTTTTTCAGCGGCTACCATGGGACTGCATATATATATATATATATATATATATATAGATAGATAGATAGATAGATAGATAGATAGATATATATATATATATATTCTCATTTGAAGTCTCTACCGAAGTTGCTGATTTGAAATAGTACATATTTAAAAATATTTTTCACTATTGAGTGACCCTTGATGGTGCACTTCTAAAAGCTATTAGGACTAATCAAATTTTATTGCCCTGTAATTAAATATCCGTGACTACTTACGAGAACTGGAAGTGACTTATCTAAGAACTTCTTATTTTCACTAGTTTTCCAATGGATTTTCGTCCTTTAAAATACATTAAATTTGCTTCATCAATAATTTATTTGAATCCAAGGTTTTCACAGAAGGAATCGCTCAAGAATGTCGTAAAGTTGTACAGAAATTAAATAGACAAGGTGTTCTTCGTCAAATGAGTTTGTATAAATATGGGCTACTAAATCATCCAAATATGGATTTTCCCGGAAAAACTATGCCAACGAAAAGTTCCATGTCCAAAGATGACATAACCTCAGTTCAAAACATTGACACTACTGATTCTAACAAGTGTTTGTTAGTAGAGTCTCAGGAAATCTCCTACCGCTTATATCCATATTCGAAACCCTCTGGTTCTCAAACAAAGATGAACACCAGTAACCAAAAGGATATCTTAATTCAGGTAAATATTCTTATGAATACCTTTAGTTACAACACATCTCTTTTCAGTCTTAGTCGTAATGTATGTAATTGTGATCGATTTTCATGCTGCATTTTGCCTTGACATAATACTGATGGTTATTATTATTACAAGTTTAATGTTGTGAATAAATATGTTTTCCTCATAAGTAGTCCCTTAAGGTATCGAACGGTGCCTAGATTTCCATTTTTATTCCAGTTCTTTATAAAACACATTTAATAGTGTACTTTATAGAATCCAACTAATCTGAATGATATCTTTGACATCTAGGTTTGATTTTATTACTTCCCAGCTTGAATCTCAATAATATTCAGTTTCTTGTTAAGAAAAGTAAAGAGCGTTAAGACATTCGATAAACCAGTGGTTTACACCATAAGTTGATATTAGTCAATCGATTAGTTAAAACAGTGAAGTGTTCATCAGTTTATTTTTAGTTAGTTATTATATTCTCTAGCTCTAAGCACGTATTCTAACTCAAGCTTAAATGTAAGGTTCTCATGGTGGATTCCTGAAAGACCTCTTTCGTATGGCTGTAATCAATTTCAGTTATCTAATTTTCACTGCTGATTTGTCGTATACGCAGTTGTCATCTATGTGCACTAGAAAGCATAACCTCAATCAGATCTACAAGTACCCGTTGTTCAGATCAGCCAATCATTTGTCTAGAAAGTAAAAAACATTGATTTTATATGCTTCCTACAATGTCTCATGATTTCAACATCCAAAATACACTTTTTTTTAACATCCTACGTCTGGTCTTAAAAGGTTTGCGCTACGAATTTTGTGTATCACATAGTTACAACTCACACTTGGATGATTGTATGACTGACCTAGATTTATCGTCACAAAGTGGATTGATATAGAATATAAGTAGGCTGTTTTGCGGTGGCTTAATGGTTAAGGTGTTTAACTTTTAGCCTCTAAACCCAAAGTCCGACCCTTCTCTACCTACTTCGGTTTGGGCAACCGAGTTGTACCGTTAGCCGAATGGCTTAAAATATATTTCTCCCTCTCAAGCATACAACGATAATACGTTAATACAATAATAGGACTGATCACGTTATATCAGGTCCAGGATTCACGATCAAGAATAAAAAACCAGGTTAACACTATATGATACTTTATTCAGCACAACTACAGTCACGCTCAGTGATTCCGGAGTAAAAATCAATGAGAGGAAAAGAAATCACATATTCTATATCTGTCTGTTTATGTTCAAAGACTAATCATATTTTAATTTCACTACCACATATCAGTCTCATATCCAATGTCCTGGATAGTGAATTACTTCTAAAAAAGGCTGTTCTGTAATTCATGTGATACGTTGTTTTGCATACTTGGTTCATAATTCCACTTCATCCATTCAAGTTCACCAAAATGATCACCAGCAAGTTAAAAAATCATCCTTCCAGCTAGAGGAAATCAATTTCGCCCACTATACTACTAGTTTACACCATAATTAAATATCTTGAATGAAGTAAAATTTCTCTTGAGCACCAATTCTTTCTGGAATATTGTACGTAATAATATTTATTAAACAAATGCAATGTCGACATCTAGTAATTTTAAGTCATTACATCATCCTTACAGTCTAGACAGTCAATTACAAATAGTTCCTACTAACCTCAGTACTGCTTATTTTTGTTATACCAGCTAAATCATCCCAACTGCTGTTATTTATCTACAAGCCACATTTGCTGAAAATTATCACATACAACTCTATTTTGTTTGCCATTCCAATTCCAGAATTCTACGGCTTCGAGTCAAACAAGTCACTTTTTACCAACTGGTAAATCAGATACAGATTCATCTCAAAAATTTACTTCAAAATGGGATATCTACTTGTAAGCTTTCTTCTAACCAAAAAGAAAACTATGAAAGAGATTAACTATTCTGGTTGACATTTATTATTTCTTGTTAAAAAATTTCCTCACATCATTTCTCATTTCTATTCCTGATGAGTTGATGGTATGATTAATATGAGTAGAGATTTGTATTTATTTTGTTATAAAATCAACGTAAAATCGTATACTGTATTACACACAGGAGAATGAATGTTTGAAAAGCGTGAATCAATAGCTTTGAACTTTGATTTACTATTTTTGAATTTTAGGAAGATAAATAAGCTTGTGTAAGATTGAAACATGAGGAATTTGAACCATTTATTAGATAATCGTCTTGGAATTGTCTACTATTAAATCAATTAGATGTACCCTTCATAGAGATATTTCGTTAACCAATGTATAGTGCAGTTAGAAGTGTATGAATGAACCAACACATGTTATATGTAGATGGAAGAATTCATATCCCTACTTAGGAAATGGGATACGAGTTGTCAAATAGACACAGAAATGAGATGATGCAACGTAGCGGTGCTCAAAATCAGTGAAACCCATTCGATACACGCTGGACAGAAAACATTAGCTTCGAGAGAGATAGTGCTCCACTCTGCTCACGAAGAAGTAAGTGCTCCGCATACGCAGAAAGTTGCAATCATGTTGTCCGAAGAAGCACGTGAAGATCTTATAGGATGGGAATTTCATGGGTTCTGATTCATCAAAGCACCCTTCAAAGAAAAGAAGGAGATAATCACAATGAATGTTATCTAGTGTTATGCGCCCATCGATGATAGCAGTGAAGAAGATAAAGACCAGTTTTACGATAGGCTGAAGTCGGTCGTGGAGAAATGTCCAAGCAGGCAACTGACCATCCTGATGAGAGATCTAAACGCCAAAGTCAGGGTAGACAACACCGCGTATGAAGATGACATGGACTGACTAGGAGAAACGAACGAGGGATTCGCAAATTTATGTGCATTCAACAGAATGGTTATTGGCGGCACAATATTCACCCATAGACACATGCACAAACTATATAGATCTCACCGAATTACACTACACAGAACCAGAGTGATCATATTTGCATCACTAAAAAGTTCAGAAGGTCAATGGAATACGTGAGAACCAGGAGAGGAGCTGACATAGATTCAGGACACCACCTGGTGGTTTCCAAGATTCGTCGGGAATCGAAGGCAGACATCATAAGAACAAATAGCACTTGAGGACATCTAGAAACGAGCCCTAGACAGGTTCGGGTGGGGAATCTTTGTCAGCTGCCCATACTTCATGAGGCATAACAAGCGTAAGCAAGTTTGAGTAAATGGAGTAAGCATGTTGACATTCTCCAATCCGCTTCTTTTCCCTTACCATCTGTATGTATTAACGAATGTGTGAAGTATATATATTCAAAAACATTATCTTATTTGACTTGTTTCATTCTGTTATTCACTAAAATGAATGAAGTCCATAAATTCACTTTCTCCCAGAGTATAGAACATTTTAATGAGGTCCCTTAGGGTTTAGTATTAGAACCTCTTCTTTTCTTGATTTAAATAAACGATCTTCCATGACAGATATCGTCAGACTTACTACTTTTTGCTGGTGAAACCTTGAAGAGAGATACGCAACCACGAGGTCGAATTGGCTTTTCATGAGGAGCTGGTTCGACTTCGAAGTTGGGCGGATGACAACGGACTTTCCTTTAACACTTCAAAGTGTAAAATAGTCCATCTTAGACATTTCGCATGCTACAGCTACAACCTAGATGTATCTTAAGTTGAAAAAATTTAAGAATTATGGTATGCTACGATTTGAAGTTTTACGCTAGCTGTGACAAAAATGCCTTTCGAGTAAACCTCACTCTTGTAACATTGAAGCGCATTTTTGGTCAGTTTCACGAAAGAACTTTCCACATAATTTTCAACAGTTTTATTTGTCCCCATTTAGAGTACGGAATCGTAGTATCTCCTCTTTCACTCCAAAAGGATACCGACACTTCGGAATGTATCCAACGGCGAGCCACGAAATCAGTTCAGGGACTCAAATTCAAGCATTGTGAAGAGAGCCTCCGATCATTCAACATTTACCCATTATAGTATAAACTGCTTAGAGGTGGCCTAATGACTGACAACATCTTAAATACTCTAGGACATCTTAAACACGTAGTTAAGTTCAGTTCCAACACAAACCTAATGAGTAACACCCAGAAACTGGAGACCCGACTCAGGAGGACGGACTGTAGACACAACTCCTACTACTTAGTAGTAGTCAAATACTAGAATTCGCTGCCGAGCGAGCTAGTCCAAGCGACTTCCCAGGAATCCATTAAGAGAAAACGTGTCATGTTCTTAAGGACTAAGGATAGTATTTTGCTATGATTTACCGACTTCGTTTTCCTCCTTCACCGATTATATACCTAGGTTCCTTCCTGAAGGTATTGGTGATCCACTGCTACTAGATACGGAGCCCGTTAAACGAAAGCTTCTTCTATTCCATCCAAAACCATTTGAAATGCATACTTAGCTAAGTGGGTTGTGTACTTCATCAATATCATCATCATCATCGTATTGTAATGGAATGAGACCATGGAGACGAAATTGTCATACAAACCAAATATTGCATGTCAAATGGAGAGTAAAGAAACTTGGGTGGCTTTGTTTTCCGGTTCTGATCGTTTGATCGTGAAACTTTCATTGCTCTTCTGAACAACATTATCAGCACAAACGTCTGGTAACATTGAAGTGTTCGAATTGCACCACACATGACTCATTACTTGTCTCTCGATCATCACTGGCTGTTATTGACCCCTAGCCTGTCATTGCCTATCTCTTTATTTTGATTCTATCTACTTCGTGGTCCTATGTTTGCCCATGATTTTTGTGATTAGTTGGTGAATTGGATCGACTTCGATGTGTGTTGTTGATCGCTGAGTGTCAAGCTTCTTAAATTTCTCTGGTGATATTAGTGTTCCCTCTATCCAAGAATTCAACAATTTTTCAGTCGAATATGTGTCTACAGTTGTCCGCATATTGTGTTGGCATTTAGAAAATCTATAGATGTTCTAGTTCAGCACTGACGATTGACTGACATGAGAGAGGTTTGTTTTCTTCGTGGTATGGGAATATCGATAAATTACCGGTGACCTTTTAAAAAAATTTCAGATTTTTGTAGTACTTTCATTCTTACTGATCAATACACCAACTTAATAATTTTTGTGATATTCTACATAATTGAACTTTACATAACATATCTTTTAATTTATGATTAGTTTGTTTCGTAGATATGCCGACCTATTTTAGATTTAGACATAGAAAAGCAGTTGTGGGATTCGGACATTGTTTCATTTCACTTATTGCTCAATATCAATTTGAAATGATTTTCACAATCGACTTTAAGCAGTTGCCCCAACAGCGCTCTTCAACGCTCCAAGTGATTGGGACGCTACGACATACAATGTGCTCAAGAATAGGTCATCGGTTTCTGTGACAACGTGAGAAACGACAGAGCTTGTGCTTTGCCCGTTACTACCGTCCGTGATTGGAAGAAAATATGCTGTCGTGTCCTGACATTTTATATCAAATTTAAGAAATAAACGACCGATTATAACGAACTTAAAACTAGCTATTTGATTGGACGAAACAGGATAAAAATTATTGGAAGATGGGGATGAAAAAAAATTTCACTCGAAAAAAATAAGAAAATGGCTGTGAAATTATTGTTAACCTAATTTTTTGATTGTGTTGATGTATGGTCAGTAATTTACCGTATATTATTGTACGAGTAATTCATAAATCCGAATTGTGTGATCAAAGGTTACCTGCTCACAGTGCTGTGTTCTATTCTAACTATCTGATGGGCAAGCATAGGAAACTTCATCCTGGATCAATAGTCATTATGAGTTGTTGTTGTTAACCCACTGCTATCGTCTCATCAGCTAGCTGAAGGTTGTTGGTCCTGAATAGACATTGTGGGAGGAATAATCAAAACTTTGACAAGGTTAATACAACTGCTGGGTTACCACTTAATCACTGTCCAATCATCTGGAAACTTCCTATCACATAATCTAATAGTTTTTATGAATGTTATCTCAGTGTCTCTATTTTTCAAATCACTGATTTAATTCCTACTATGAGGCATGGTTACAAGATTTTATTATTCTTATCACAACTAGTACACCTGTCATCACACTATCAATTTGTACTCTTTACTTATTATGTTTATTTATGTAATCTATTGCACTGTTATCATTGAATTATAAACTGCCTTTATTGGCTTGATAATTTCGTATATGCATATAAATATTACTGTATATTAGAGTAAAGCCTGATGAAGAGTTTTTCAAATTTTAAACGTGAAATGGTTTTTACCGTCACATAGATAATAATCCTGGGTTATAATTCCATAGGTCGTTAGATATTTTATGGTTTTAATCAATGCAATTACATTGTTTATGAAATTATATTTGAAATAATACCAGTGATTGAAATTTAAACAATCCTAACGTTTCATCCAGAAAACTTGTCTGGACTTCTTCATTGGTGATAATCAAAATTAATAAAGAATACATAATGTTAAACAATTAAAAAATCTATGATGTGCTTATCTAACCATATTCAGATGTAAACTTCAGTGAGTATTGATTAACGCTTGACTAAAGGGAGTTGGCTCACGTACATTCTCCACCGTACGTCATTTCTTTTTGTCCCTCTGATAGCCTCTCCAGATCAATGAATGCGCAAAATATATTTATTCGAAATCCATTCTCATATTTAACTTATTTAATTCCGTTATTCACTAAAGTGGATCATATCAATAATTATACACGAGGATCGGCAATATATATATTTCAATGGCAATCGGAAACGCTCTCACTGGAGTCAGATCCGAGGCCACTAAATGCCTTCCTTAAATCATCTTCAATCAAGAAACATTAGTTTATAGATAGTGGACTCTATCTTCTTAGTTAGCTTATTCCTATTTAGTTGCCTCTCGTCCTTAATTATTTCTTGTGAACCGTTTAATTTAATAACGTCAAAAAGGTTACTTACGTACCGCAACCAAGCTTTGGGTGGATTCGCCTTGTTTATTTATCTTCATTTTATGCATGCTGTGACATTATTGGTTCAATTGTATAAAATATGTATGTTTCCTAATATTCACTAGCCAAAGACAATATACGGCGGATGAAGTTTCTCCTCACTTAAGTGTACACACAATGTGGCATCTTAACACTTCGTTTCATACCACATGTCTCTTATACAATAATGCAAATTCCTGCTTTAAACATTGTTAACGTTGATTGAATGACCAATTCAGGATACAGTGATCCGAAGAACTGTACTGGCATTGGGCCCTAACACGAGACAATATGTGACTTCCACATAAGATCTTTATAGATTAAGCCGTTGTATCATGACAAATCTAAAATTGTAGGATTAGGTCTATTATTAGAGCAGTACAAATATTATCTAGACCCATAATTCCACATGTCTTCCATTTGATTCTGGGAAGGTTGAAGTCACCACAAGTAATTATACTGGCGAAGCCAAGGGAGGCAGCATTAGCAAATAACTCACTTATAGTAGTGTCAACTGAATTAGGAATGTTTGTAGTTCGATGTATACATCCAAATACTACTTTAAATTTAGGAACGTTTACAGCAAGCCTTATCGATTCAAGCGATTTGTTGGGGACATCATCGCTAAATATTTTCTCTCATATTTTAAGATGTACGTATAAGACAATCACCACTCTTCTTAGTGATTGCATCACATCAGATGAGATCGTGGGTGTTTTTTCAAGGGTATGTGTAAGATCCATTTCGAATTATTTGTGTGTGAAAATCCCTCCATGTATACACTTGCAGTTTATTCTTATTGATACCTTTGGTTGTACATTTTTATTAGTCTTTTTCATTCCATTTGAGTTAATAACATTTGTATTTTATTATAGTTTTTATTTTTCTTACGCCTTCACTAAGTTTTCGTGTTTCTTTCTGAACTGCATTTATGTTGTTTGACTTGACTGGAATTGTGCATTTTTGATTGTGAGTTGAAGCACTCTTCCAGAATTGAAAACACTTGGTGTTATAAAGCAACCAAACATTGTCTTTTGAACGAATCTGTGTGTGATCTATCCAGACAGGATAGAATAACATTTAATTGTTGCGATTGTTAATTTTCTAGCATCCTTTTTTTAACTTTCTTATTTATTGTAATTTAGATTTGATTAATTGAACTATTGTTGGTTGGATAGCTGGGTGGTTATATTTGTTTAGGTAACGATGTTCATTTAAATTTATGATGAATTATAGAACCGTCATTTCACCCGATTAATTTGTTTTGGTTTCAAACGGGCAAGGGCGCGTATCTAACCCACCAAGACAGCTATTCTTCAGTCCAAACCATAGTTTGGATCTTACAGTATGAGCCAGTAACTTCTTAGGACAACGAAATTCCCGTTATCAAAACAAGTGAAGGATTGTTAGAAAATACCAGGGTGAATAATTTGGTCATTTATCTTGTACGTTAGTGTCAGGTACGGTGAGTGTTTGCCTTACGAGAGGGATTGCTGTAAACCTAGTGGGTTGTTTGTCTTTTATGTGGTGAAGAGGAAGAAGTGAGAGGCGGTCGGCAATGGTGAACGTGGAAGGATTAAAAATAGGCATGACATGGCTCAGCCTTGCTGATGTGGCCATTATGTGTAATCTATTACCATTCACGTCAAAAATATTATTTTATCCCCAGTCCAAATATGTTTTCCAGAAGTGCTAATCGTCATATTGTTAATTGCTATGATACGATGAATCAGTGTAGAAAATGATGTGACTCCCACGTATAATCTTAAAGATTAGGTTTCCACATCATTACAAAAAAAACGTTTTTGGGATTAGGCCTGTGATTATAATAGTACTAATACGGACTAGATCATAATTCTACAGGGTTGATGAAAGAAAGATAGTCAGAGTGTAGTTTGGTGAAAGAAGTTTGTTTAAGATTGACAACTGGAGGAGAGTGGGTTAAACGAACAAGTAGTTTGTAAGAGTTATGTATAATGTGTTAATAGATTCTGTTTTCCCTTTTTTTGCAGGACGATCATGAGTAAATGCTTTAGAAGAGGAAGAACAAGCCTTACATGCACTGACCCTGCGGAATGACGCATAAGGCTGTTAGGTTAACTAACCCCCTCTTTTGTACATTCCCGCGAATTTTGACTTTGAAAATAAATCACTGGTGGTTCCATTCCGTGTTCTCCCTGTGTTGTGAAGCGCTCAGTTAACATTGTGTGTTTGTGGTTTTAGATCATCCCGCTCGCTCCAGTGACTGCTGAATACACGAATTACAATTGGTGGTGGAGGTGGCCACAGAAAAATGCGACGAGAAACTAGACGAACCCCTTGTGATTCCAATCAAGGCTGCGCCCTCTTCAACCCCTCGCTAACCACCTCTACTTGAAAGTTCGTCAGAATACTCTGTTCGGAAATTTAAAGTCATAGTTCCTTCGTCATCTCCATGGGCATCCCCTATTGTCTTAGTGAAAAAGAAAGATTCCTCTCTACGACTATCGACGCCTTAATGCTATCACTAAACGTGACTCTTTTCCACTCCCACGGATCGATACCACGCTAGATGCCTTGAAAGGCGCATGTTGGTTTTCGACTTTGGACCTAGCATCTGGGTATTGGCAAGTAGAGGTCCGACCGCAAGATGGAAAAAAACGGCATTTATAGTACCAAATGGTCTATATGAATTCCAAGTGATGCCCTTTGGTTTAACGAATGCCCCGGCTACCTTCCAAAGACTAATGCAAGCAGTGTTACAAGACATAGTACCCAACAAATGCCTGATATATCTTGATGACATTATTGTGTATGGTAGCACGCCCGAACTACACAATACCAATTTGAAAGCAGTCCTTCAGCGCCTTCAACAACACAATTTAAAAGTAAACCCGTCCAAACGTCGCCTGCTGCAGAAAGAAGTAATCTTCCTGGGACACCGTATCACTGCAGATGGTGTAGGCACAGATAAAAAAAAGACACGTGTGATTGTTAATTGGCCGCAACCACAATCACCCGAAGACGTTCGTAGCTTCCTTGGGCTAGCTTTTTATTATAGACGCTTTGTTCGCGACTTTGCATCATTAGCAACATCTTTGCATCGATTAACACACAAGGGACGAAAATTCTTATGGACTAGCGAGTGTCAACAAGCGTTCGATGCTTTGAAAGCACGATTAACCTCCCCACCTATATTAGCCTTTCCGGATACTTCAGCAGACGGGGGTGAATTTATACTCGATACGGATGCTGGTTCCTCGGCCATTGGAGCAGTTCTATCGCAAGTATATCGAGATGGACACGAAAGAGTCATCGCGTATGCTAGTCAACGATTAGATAAGAGTGAAGCACGGTATTCTACAACACGTCGAGAGATGTTAGCACTAGTAAAATTCTTACAACTTTTTTGTCATTATCTACTGGGCAAACCCTTTCGTGTGCGCACGGATCACCGTGCATTACAGTGGCTCCGCTCTTTCCGCTAACCAGAAGGGCAAGTAGCACGCTGGCAGGAACGGCTACAAGAGTTTAACTTCACATGCGAGTATCGACCGGGAAACCGACATACAAACGCGGATGCCCTTTCCCGAATACCCCAGACCACAAATAATGTTAACACAATTCTGAGTACAGCGCTAGAGACTGATTGGCCCTCCCTACAAGCAACAGATCCAGACCTGCAGATTATTTACCAAAGACAGTTACACGGGAACAATAAGCCATCCTGGAAGGAGTTAAAAGATCAAACCCTAACAACGCGTCGTATTTGCACCAAATGGAGTAACCTAAAACTATATGGGGACACGTTATTCCTAATTAATGAATCGAAACAACCCCTGCTGATAGTACCGCGAGTCAAAGTCGAGAGCATTGTTGAGCAGGTACATCGCGAACTTGGTCATGCGGGAGAATGAAGGAAGGAACACGCTGTCCGTCAACGCTTTTGGTGGCCATCTATACAAGTTTTTTTGAGAATGGTCAGAAAGTTCAATTAAGCAGCGCTTGAGACTAGGGACAGTTATCGATGAAGAAAAAGGTGTTTCACTCCCCATTAGGTCGAAGTATATAGAGGATGGTCTGAAAAGAGTGGTATTATGGCCCTCAACAGTTGGAGACCCAATAGTGATAAAAAACACGAGGTGACGTGTGTATCAAATGTTAGGGGTCAAAGAGTTGTGTAAAGTAGTTTGGCTTGGGTAGTGTCTAAAATCACTTTTTGGGTGCCAAAGTAAGCCGATGTTGTAGTTTTCTTGTATGTTTCGGCCCATTTTATTGGCAGTTAGAGAGGTTGTAGATGTCAGTTTAAAAATGAGGAGTTGGCTGAGGTAATTGTCAAGAGAGATGTTGGAGGTCAGCCACTTTTTCTGAAAACTGCTCACAACAATTGGCACTTTTGGGTAAGCTGCAATAAGTACTAGGCTTTGTTGACTGAAACAGCCTGTGGTCTGTTTTATACGTGCTTATGAGCAAATTGCAAGGCAGTGAAGTGTCATACTCAAGTACATGGTTTCTGCCTTGTATATCTATAGAAATTTCGGAGCTCGACGCGGGATGATCGATGTATATACATGATTCGTTTTAGCGATGGATTTAGGCCATGTGCAGGCGCCATAGACCTCAGGGGAGAGTAACGGTATACGTTATGTCTTAAGCCTAATAATTAGTCTCATTTAAAGAGAATAATTATGAAATAAGATACCCATATGTTTCTTTGTAACACTCCTGGCTTTTAATTAACAATGTATGTGCAATTTCTAGCATTTTCCCGATCATTTAGTGTGTGAGTGGTACATACAAGAGCATAACTTACACTAAAGACTTTATTTCAAGCTCTGAATGCAACTATATCTACTTTTTCATCCCACTAGATGGGTTATTCAACGGCTGCATGTTCACAAAATATATTTGTAGATAGCTTTAGATAACTATAATGAAATCCTAAGTACGAAGCACGGTTTTATATGCATTGGGAGCACACTAAATTTACGGAAAATCATTCGAAAATGCCGAATATTTCAGTCTTATTGAATATTGAAGAAGGATGATTATTCACACATAATTATCGCTTCAGCGCTCTAATTGTAAAGACTAGGTCATTTGCCCACCGCTTGTTATTGTCTGTCCGTTTCAAATTTACTGTTCATCGCCCATGTCTTTTCATAAGTTGTGGAGGAAAGCACAAGACAATCCAACTGAATTTTCAGTTTGGATCAGCCTTTTGGATCTCGTTGAAAAACAGGTAATACATATATGTCACCGAATGTCCTTTAGCAAAATATTGAGTATGCTAGACAAGCTTTTGATGCATTTTTCAAACGTTTCCCATATTGCTACGGTTACTGGAAAAAGTTCGCTGATATGGAACGCCATAAAGGAAATAAGGAAAAGTGTTTACAAGTAAGAGACTTTTGATCACTTTTGTAATTTGACTAAATATGCTTTTTACTGTGTCCGTATTGTTGTTAGTAACTAAGATGTTATGCGGAAACCGGAAGACTGAATACTTTTCAAATGCTTTCGATCAAACTTGAATTACGACAGCTGTACAAGCTGTAGCGGGTTTCGTATAATCGCGTACTTTAAGATTATTGTAATGACAGAAGAATCGCAAGCAAACAACAGCAGTGACACTTGGTTAATGGACCTTACTAGAAAGCAGCCTTTCGGTACATGTGTCCCAGTTTCGAAAACCGCACGTCTTACCTTAGTTGGGGCGACAGTATATTAGTTTAAGTGCTTGGTGAATGAGTTGATTGTAGTTGTGAGATTCTACTTCATTTCAGTAGAACCAAAAGTATTACTTATATTTCTTGCTGATAAATACTCCCGGCAATTTGTAAAGGAAAAATTTACCCAAATTGTCAGGATGTAAATTATCAATTACTGATCTCAAATTACCGTATGACATAAAGGGATTAAGGTGGTCTAAGTATTGATCTTGATAGATGCACTAGGGAAATGACGTTTCAAAAGGTGTATACTTTACATTTAAATGATTCTTCATATCAAGTTGTTGCTGTGTCAAAGCGCTACATTGTTCTTACGACTCTTACGTCACTGGTAACCTGTGCCATTAAAATCCTTTCTGTCGATTCTCTTATTAGTTTTCAGTTTTCTTATTTAAACACTGGACGTAATCGCCCTGGGTCATAATCACTTGCATTTTTTTGCTAAAGTTGGTTCTCACGTTTCGCAAAAGGGTTGTACTGGTGGTTAGTTTCATCTCTTCGTTTCTTAATAAAAGTGTTCACAAATCTTTAGTTTTTACCTCATGTTGATAGTAAAAAAATCTTGGACTAGTTGGTTTATCTTCGAACCAACATTATTGTTACAGCAGACATAACTTAACCTAGATGAAGATTTGGCTTGCGACAGTCATTATTTGATAAATACGATTCCGGTGTATCCATTTCTGATATCATCTACCACAACCACTTACCACCTCCAACTAGGAAGAAGCACATCGTACACTTCACCTTAGTGGATGTAGACTACCTGGTTGGGGACCGCGAGATTATAGCAACCGATGGTTAGAGACCCTGAATGACATGGCTGAAAATCGTTTGCAATGGCGCAGGTACATCCACTCTTCGGTTTGGGCACCTACCTGCTTCGGTTTGGGCACCCGAGCAGTATCACAGCCCTCACACAAATCGATTGAGATTTGTGTGGCGCATATGTATTTGGTGCCTCCCTGTACCGACTGACTGACTGAAAAACCAATCATTACTTAGTAATTTATAATTTAATTCATTACCAGGCACATATTTGTGTACTTGGTTTGATCCTCACTATGTATTCTGAGTAGTGGGCCCCCAAATGCCCTGGTATGGCCGAGAGTGGGGAGGGTTCGCCCTCCCTCTCGAAATACTCTCACACGGCCACGCGTATACAGCCTCTGCCAGGGAAGTCCTACTCACTGCCTTCTCGTGGCGAGGGTGTTGTTTACGAAAATGAGAGGACGAAAAGCGAACGTCCGGCGCTATAACCGGATCCCAAATCGATGGTGCACATGGGCTCCAGTATCCTGCCTGAAGGAACAAATGGCGTATGAACCAATCGATGGTCACCGGCTACCATGGGACTGCATCTCCTTACGATGCTCCACTGCCTTGTGGATCAGATCTTCAGGTCGAAGGCTCGGGGTGTGGCCCCCTAAGAAAACCACCTGCTTCGGTTTGGGCACCCGGGCAGTATCCCAGCCCACTCACTAAAACTATGATGAACAATTCGCTTATGGAAAATACTCCTTTCTATCTGATTAACATTGAAATAACTCGTACTATTATTATTATTATTATTGTTATTATTATTATTATTATTATTATTATTATTATTATTATTATTACTCTACCACGTCATTTATCCACCCTCTCTTATTCCTACTTTATATATGCGTTTCGACCTAGACAGCAGCTCACCTATGGTGAAAATTCAGCTTTTTCTAAACGTTCCCGAGTCACTGCCTGGTTGAAAATTGTATGTTACTACCGAACATGAGTACTGAAGCAGTCTTTCTGAAACCGCGTGCACCATTCAAACTGGCTACCTTCAACGTTCGCACACTTGTGCAGGTCGGACAACAGATAGGACTGGCTATGTCTTTGGAAAGTCTTAATATTGATGTGTGTTGTCTATCCGAGACCCGTATTCAAGACTCTTGTGAAGTACTACAAGTTCGCTCTCCATCTGTCACTTCAAAAACCTTGTTTTATGTGCGTTTATCCGGGGACCCTGTGGCATCTTCGTCTGGTCTTGCTGGCGTTGGTGTCGCACTAAGCGCAAGAGCTGAGGCAGCACTAGTCGACTGGATCCCCATTAACAGTCGGTTATGTGCTGTTAGATTAGAAAGTTCCATCAAAGTGAGAAGAAATCGGCGTGAGAAACGATGTCTTTTCGTCATCTCCGCCTATGCCCTGACAGATTGCAGCCCGGATGCAATCAAGGACGAGTTCTACCATCAGCTAACTGTTCTTCTCCAGAAAGTGCGTTCGACAGATATTGTAGTACTAGCTGGAGACTTGAATGCTCAGGTCGGGCGTCTAGGCACAGAAGAGAGTCGTTTAGGTGGCCGATGGGGACTCGTTGGTCGCAGGACAGATAACGGGAACGTCTACTGCGACTATGCACAGACCACAACCTGTTTCTGGCTAGCACTAACTTTCGGCACAGTCATCGCCGATGTGCCACCTGGCGTCCTCCTTCTGCATCTCAAGCCTGGACTCAGATTGATCACATCGCGATCAGCTACCGCTGGCGCGGTTGTGTACAAGACTGCCGCTCCTTTTGGAGTACCTATCTGGAATCTGATCATGCTCTGGTCTGCGCCAATCTTACCTTACTTTTCAGTGGACAACGAAGTGACCGCCACCAAAGGATTGATGTTAGCAAGCTGGCTGCAACTTCTGTTGCTAGTAAGTACCGAACCGAGCTAGCTTCTAGGCTAGCTACCATTCCACCGAAAAGTATAGATGAGCATTGGTTGCAATTGCATGACGCCATGAAAATGGCGGGTACAGTCTGTTGTGGGTTTGCGAAACGTCCCGCTTACAAGCACTGGGTTTCTTCTGGTTCCTTACAACTGATTGAAGCCCGTCGGTCTACTCCGGGTGACCGTGAGTTTGACCTCAGACGAAGGATGTTACGTAATGAAATCGGGCAAAGCTTGCGTAAGGACCGAGAAGCCTGGTGGTCGGAGCGTGCTAATGAGTTGGAAGCAGCAGCTGCATCTGGTAATTACCGGAAGCTCTTCCAACTCATCCGAGCCACTGGCAGCAAGAAGTTTGGTGTGAGCGAAACAATTTGCGAGGATGACGGAACGCCAATCACTAACATCCATCGACGTCTTGGACGATGGGCAGAATTTTTCGAAGGGCAGTTCAACTGGCCTGCTGCTCCGGCAACATCGGTCAGACTGTCCTGCCCTCCATGGCCGGTGACGACTGATCCACCAAATGAGGCGGAAGTCCGCAAGGAACTCCAACTCTTGAAACGTTACAAATCACCGGGCCCAGACGACTTACCTCCGGCTCTTTTTAAAGATGGTGGTGACTTTCTGACTAAGGGACTGACGACGTTGTTTACAAAGATCTGGGAACTAGAGTGTGTACCAACGTCATGGAATGAGTCGATAGTTGTCCCTATCTTTAAAAAGGGTTCACGTTGTTCCTGTAACAACTATCGGGGGATAAGTCTACTTCCGATTGTATCCAAGCTATTGGCTTCCGTCATACTTCGTAGGTTGTTCAGAACCCGAGAAGGATTGACTCGCGAGGAGCAGGCTGGGTTTCGTTCTGGTCGAGGATGTATTGATCATATCTTCACCCTCCGCCAAGTGTTAGAACATCGCCATACTTATCAAAGGCCAACAATCGTAGCGTTTCTTGATATCAGGGCTGCCTTCGATTCGTTGGACAGAACTGTTCTCTGGGATTGTCTATTGAAGAAGGGTGTGCCTGAGAAGTTTATTAACATCCTAAAAGCCCTATACAGTAACACCTCAGGCAGAGTGAGGGCATACAACCACCTTTCTCCACTATTCCATTCGAGCAGTGGGGTTAGGCAGGGTTGCCCAATCTCACCATTCCTCTTCAACTTTGCCATCGATGACATTCTGGAAACAGCTCTGACGGATGTAAGTAATGGTGGTGTGGATCTGTTGCCTGGAGGAAGACTTCTCGACCTTGAGTATGCGGATGATATTGTCTTACTGTGCGATAATGCCCAAGCTATGCAATCTGCAAACTAGGGTGTCATAAGCAGTCTTTACACTTATGTAGGACACTTCTGCACTTCTCAACTTGTTTTCTTACGATGCAGTTTACTTATATACGCCTGTTAACCCTCGTAGAGGAGCAGAGACCGCCCATCGGTATTCTCCATCCAACTCTGTCCTGAGCAATCCTTCCCAGTTGTTATCCATTCTTTTCATATCTGCTTCCAATTTCCAACGAAGTGTGTTCTTTGGTCGTCTTCTTTTCCGTTTTCCTTCAGTATTCCAAGTTAGTGCTTGCTTTGTGATGCAGTTTGATTATTTCCTCAATGTATATCCTATCCACTTCCAGTGTCTTTTCCTAATTTCCTCAGCTGGAAGTTGTTTTGTTCTCTCCCACAGTAGGCTGTTGCTGATGATATCCGGCCAACGGATATTGAGTATTTTGCGTAGACAATTATTTATAAATACTTGTACTTTTTGATGATGGTTGTAGTAGTTGTTCAAGTTTCATCTCCGTACAGTAGAACTGTCTTGATGTTCGTGTTGAAGATGGTGTCTTTGATATTAGTTGACAGTTGTTTTGGGTTCGGTGTGTTCTTCAGTTGTAGGGATGCTGCCCTTACTTTGCTAATCCCTGACTTTACGTCTACATCAGATCCTCCTTGTTCATCGATGATGCTGTCCAGATACCTGAAAGTTTCTATCTTTTCCAGAGTTTCTTCATCAAGTGTCATTGGGCTGGTGTTCTCCGTGTTGTATTCGAGGATGTTGCTTTCATGCATTTAGTTCCCCTTATGAATTCACATAAAGCCGGAACAAACATTGAAACAGAATAGTATGAATTCATTATATTTCATGGTTTCTCATCAGCTGCTTACAACCAGTCAGTCAGTTAAAACGTAGGACTAGGCACATACATGCATCAGTCCAAGTTTCCTTACCGCATTAGCACAACAAGATCAACATCGGATTCATAGAAGTAGTTAAGTCAGTGGTGGTAATGTATAGAAGAAAGATTGTATATAAGGAGATAGTGCAGGAAGAAAGATTTCGTAGATAGAAAGAAATTTATGAAGCGATTTTGAATCTTAGTTTGAAAGAAGACAGAGAGTGTATACACCTACGCCATTGTGATCGATCCTGAACCATGCTACCAAGAGTCTCCAACCATTGGTTACGATAGTCACACTCACCCCAACCAGGCATTCTGCATCTAACAACATGGCTAAGACTAGAAATTAGTGACTTCAAGCACTGATGCCACGTTTTCGTTTGGTCGCCCCTAACTTTCTTCCAGCCATCCCCAACACTAGTCAGCATTGCGCTTTGTGGTAATCGGTGTTTAGGCATAGGTAACACGTGGTCTAACAATCTCAGTCGATGGAGATTCACAACCTCATCAATTGATTTACCATCATTCCCTAATACCCTGTGTCTAACCTCACTATTACTTACCCGGTGATCGCAGCAGATGCGAGTAATATTTCTAAGGCATCTATGGTCAAATACTAGTAGTTTAAGAGTATCTTCTACTCTTAATGGCCACGTTTCGCAGCCGTGAAGTAGAACAGAACGGACTGCTGCCCAGTATTCTCGTCCCTTAATTGATAGACATATATCTCGCCTTCGCCATAGGTGACGTGAGTTGGTAAAAGCCAAACGGGATTTTCGAAGCCGTGCTGATCAGACTTCCATGATAATTGAAGTTGTCAACGCGTTCGACTACTTCACTCCCTATCTTTTGTTCAGGTGTTGACTCAGGCCAGTCCTGAAACAGCGACCAAATATGTATTAGAATTTTACATTGAGGTAAGAAATAGTGTGGAACAATTGACGTAAGTGAATGTAAAGAGTTGCTTTTTCCATTACAGCTTTTTTCCTCTTCACTCACTTGCACACGCCCGTTACCTCACGTTGAGGAGCATAGGCCACTCACACTTGCTTGTTTGCTGCTGTGTATTTGGTCTGTACCTTTCTTTTTCTACTCTTATTCGTTTGTTGTTAGTTGCTGTCTTCTTGTTCTTACCTGCTTGAATCCTGTCCAGGATTTCAACAGAGATCCATTCCTTATGATAATGCTTCTTTCAGCCCGGCAGCTCATGGCGCGTTGAAGTTAGTGCTTCTTTGATCCATTTCCAATTTTCATCCATAGTAGTTTCTTCTCTCGATAGATGTTGTAAGGCTCGGAACCTGTTGCTGAGAGCTATCATGGATTGGTTAAGTTTGTCAGTATCTCGAAGGAGAGCTGTATTGAAATTTTATAATGCTGTTTGTCCAGTTGTCCCTTGCTTCTCTAGCTCCAGTCTCATCTCGCTGAACACCAGATAGATGGTTATCTTAATATATGTCGACTCCTCTCCTGGTTCTCACGTATTCCATTGACCTTCTGACCTTTTTAGTGATGCAAATATGATCACTCTGGTTCTGTGTAGTGTAATTCAGTGAGATCTATATAGTTTGTGCATGTGTCTATGTGTGAATATTGTGCCGCCAATAACCATTCTGTTGAATGCACATAAATTTGCGAATCCCTCGTTCGTTTCTCCTAGTCAGTCCATGTCATCTTCATACGCGGTGTTGTCTACCCTGACTTTGGCGTTTAGATCTCTCATCAGGATGGTCAGTTGCCTGCTTGGACATTTCTCCACGACCGACTTCAGCCTATCGTAAAACTGGTCTTTATCTTCTTCACTGCTATCATCGATGGGCGCATAACACTAGATAACATTCATTGTGATTATCTCCTTCTTTTCTTTGAAGGGTGCTTTGATGAATCAGAACCCATGAAATTCCCATCCTATAAGATCTTCACGTGCTTCTTCGGACAACATGATTGCAACTTTCTGCGTATGCGGAGCACTTACTTCTTCGTGAGCAGAGTGGAGCACTATCTCTCTCGAAGCTAATGTTTTCTGTCCAGCATGTATCGAATGGGTTTCACTGATCTTGAGCACCTCCAAGTTGTATCTCTTTATTTCCGTTGCTGTTTGACTGGTCCTTTTAGTCTCCCACATTGTTCGGACAATCTATGTGCCTACATCAATTGTTGCTGTTGTTGTTAGAAGAGGCATCGACCTCGTGACTTCCGAAGAATCTCAGCTTTCACCCTGAGGTGTCATAATTCTTGTGAATGAAGGTTTTTCAACTCGGTGTGCAGAGTTTATATGGTTTAAATTGTTTTTTCGGTTAGTGTATTTTTAGCAACGTTGTTTTCTATGAGATGGAGTTGCTGGTTTTATTTTCAACCCTTCTCTTCTGTGTGGGCCTCGGACCGCAGTAACCCTAAAAGAGCTACAGGTTGTTATAATCTAGTTGACACAATGTCATTTCCTTTGATAGGAATGCTTCCAGATTGCTAACCAGTTATTCATTAAATTGTTGCAGATTTTGTTTAAATATCAGACGTTTTGCTACAGGAGTATTCGATACAAGGAGTCGCTCAGGCTGACATATTAGGCACTATTTTTGCATATTATATAGCACGTTGATTCATGGATCCTTTTACTAATCCTTAAGTAGGTATCAATTCTAAAATTGAACTTGATAGTTTCAAGGAAATTGACCATTGTGTAGAAAGGTAATGGTAAAATGATATATTTTTTCGATATCGCAATGAGTAGAATTTGGAATTGATGTTTTGTGGATTAATGTAAACCAATGTAGAGTAAATAAAGTATTTACTCTGGATACAACAAATGTAACATTATTTTATTACTAGTTCTTAAGTTCTATTTTTATTGCACAGTGTTGTTGGTTAGAAATATTAGTTAAAGTGTCCTAGAGTCGGGTACACTGACACGGTTTTATTCATTCGACATTGTTATCCAAATCTTGTGTCAAGTGGGATTCCGTCTCATTTCTTTCGAACTATGTTTTTTGTTCAATTTTACACTGCAGTTGTTAGATTTCCCCTTTACTTTTCATTTTGTTTATTGTCTCGGTGCTGATATGTGTTGGAGTTCGACTGGAACAAAAGTTTCAGGTTTTAGGCTGGGTATGATTGAGTGGCAAAATCATATGGTTTAATGTAAGATGTTTCAAAGAACGATCCATCCAAATAATTGTTTTTTAAAATAATACACTTCTATTTAACCACTCAGGTTAAAGTAAGTGGAATAAAGTTGTGTCCTTTACGTTACTGTTTGGAAATCTCTTACTTGGAATACCAACTCACTCAAATTAAAACATATTCACCAATAATTTACCGAAAATTTATTTGTGGTAAGCTTTTCAAAGCGCTAGAAAATAATATCTTCAGTTACTTGGTAGTTAGCTTCGGCTCTCTTAACTACATTTTAGTGATGTGTAGTTTGTAATTATTACTGACGACAATAGCTTGTTGTAATCTTTATATAGTTTTCGAAAAGTAGTCAGACCTCTGAGAGCACATTTTCCTTGTTTCATTGCTTTTAAGAGTCATTAATGGTATTTTAAATAGATCGGTTTGTATTGTTTTTGGTCAGGTTTACGAAATGGGAGTTAAGACCATACCTTTGAGTGTTGACCTCTGGACGGCCTATTTGGACGCTGCCACTGAATACTACCATACGCACGATGACTATGAAACTAAAATGCGCAGGTCAGTGGTTTATTATTTTTCTGTTGTATGCACATTTGTTATAATGCTCTTCGTTGTGCCTTTTAGTTCAGTGTACGCAAACCCTTTATTGATCAATATGGTTCTTATGTATTTCAGTCTCTATGAATCTGCAGTGGATTCTGCTGGGCTTGAATTTCGTTCTGATGCCTTGTGGGAGCACTATATCAGCTGGGAAAGTGGACACAATCGACTAGTTAATGCTGCAAATATATATGCTCGTTTATTATCAATCCCAACTCAACTTTACTTTCAAAATTGGGACAGGTTAGTTTAGTTTATCACAACGGTTTCTGCCTGAATTTCATTTCATTACATTCATGTTACTGTTCTAGTTATTTTGTTTATACAAGATCACATTCTGTCTTAAAAGTGCTTGGAAAATGATGTGCAACCGTTCATGAGTTTGGGTTGCTGCATTCCTCAAAGCAAAACAAAATTCACATAAGATTTTTAATATTCGATAACAGAAAATGCTTTGAAAAACAAAAAATAGATTCAAACAATAAAGTCCTCAACATTTAGAGCGATATGGAGAGTGACATTGCCAAGGTTGGAATTGACAACACCGGATATGAAGAGATCATGGGACGACACGGACTGGGAGAAAGGAACGAAAATGATGAGAGATTTGCAAATCTATGTGCCTTCAATAAACTGGTCATAGGCGGGACTATATTCCCACATAAACGCATACACAAAACCACATGGACTTCACCGGATCACAGCACACAGAACCAAATCGACCATATCTGCATCAACAAAAAGTTCAGGAGGACGATAGAGGACGTGAGAACAAAGAGAGGAGCTGATATAGCATCAGATCATCACTTGCTGGTCGCCAAGATGAAATTGAAACTCAAGAGGCACTGGACAACGGGGAGGACAATATCACAAAAATTTAATACGGCTCTTCTTCGGGATAATGACAAACTCAATAAATTCAAGATAACCCTCAGCAATAAGTTCCAAGCCTTTCATGATCTACTCAATGGAGAAGGAACTACTATGGAGAGCAACTGGAAAGAGATAAAAGAGGCAATCACTTCAACATGTCATGAGGTTCTGGGCCAAAAGAAGCACCATCACAAGGATTGGATCACGGTCGATACACTGGATAAGATTCAAGAAAGGAGGAACAAGAAAGCAGCAATCAATACCAGTCGAACAAGAGCAGAAAAAGTCAAGGCACAAGCTGAATACACAGAAGTAAACAAGCAAGTGAAAAGGAGCATCAGAACCGACAAACGTAAATATGTGGAAGATTTGGCAATGACGGCGGAAAAGGCTGCCAGAGAAGGAAACATGCGACAACTGTATGAAACAACAAAGAAACTCTCCGGAAATCACCGTAAACCAGAACGACCAGTGAAAAGCAAGGAAGGCAAGATAATCACCAACATTGAAGAACAACGAAACAGGTGGGTAGAACACTTCAAAGAACTCTTGAATCGACCAGCCCCACTGAACCCACCCAACATCGAAGCAGCACTCACGGACCTCCCAATTGATGTTGGCGCACCGACAATTGAAGAAATCAGCATGGCTATCAGACAAATCAAGAGTGGCAAAGCAGCAGGACTAGACAGCATTCCAGCAGAGGCACTGAAAGCAGACGTAAGGGCAACTGCAAGGATACTCCAAACTCTCTTCAAAAAGATCTGGGATGAGGAACAGGTACCAAAAGACTGGAAAGAAGGACTTCTAGTCAAAATACCAAAGAAAGGCGATCTCAGCAACTGTGACAACTACAGGGGAATCACTCTTCTCTTAATACCAGGAAAAGTCTTCAACAGGGTATTGTTAAACAGGATGAAGGACTCCGTAGACGCCCAACTTCGAGACCAACAGGCAGGATTCCGTAAGGATAGATCGTGCACAGACCAAATCGCAACTCTACGGATCATTGTGGAACAATCAATTGAATGGAATTCATCACTCTATATCAACTTCATCGACTACGAAAAAGCATTTGATAGCGTGGACAGAACAACACTATGGAAGCTTCTTCGACACTACGGCGTGCCTCAGAAGATAGTCAATATCATACAGAATTCCTATGATGGATTAAACTGCAAAATCGTGCATGGAGGACAGTTGACAAAGTCGTTCGAAGTAAAGACCGGTGTCAGGCAAGGTTGTTTACTGTCACCCTTTCTCTTTCTCCTGGTGATCGACTGGATCATGAAGACATCAACATCTGAAGGGAAGCACGGGATACAGTGGATAGCTAGGATGCAGTTGGATGATCTAGACTTCGCAGATGATCTGGCTCTTCTATCGCACACACAACAACAAATGCAGGAGAAGACAACCAGTGTAGCTGCAGCCTCAGCAGCAATAGGTCTCAATATACACAAAGGGAAAAGCAAGATTCTTCGATACAACACAACATGTACCAATCCAATCACAATTGACGGAGAAGCTTTGGAAGATGTAAAAACCTTTACATATTTGGGCAGTATCATCGATGAACACGGTGGATCTGATGCAGATGTGAAGGCACGGATTGGCAAAGCAAGAGCAGCATATCTACAACTGAAGAATATCTGGGACTCAAAACAATTAGCAACCAACACCAAAGTCAGAATTTTCAATACAAATGTGAAGACAGTTCTACTGTATGGCGCGGAAACCTGGAGAACTACGAAATCCATCGTCCAAAAGATACAGGTGTTTATTAACAGTTGTCTACGCAAAATACTTCAGATCCGCTGGCCGGACACTATAAGCAACAACCTACTGTGGGAGAGAACAAATCAGATGCCAGTGGAGGAAGAAATCAGGAAGAAGCGCTGGAAGTGGATAGGACACACATTGAGGAAAGCACCGAACTGCGTCACAAGACAAGCCCTCATATGGAACCCTCAAGGTCGAAGGAAGAGAGGAAGACCAAAGAATACATTACGCCGAGAAATGGAGATAGATATGAGAAAAATGAACAAGAATTGGATGGAACTTGAAAAGAAGGCCCAGGACAGAGTGGGTTGGAGAATGCTGGTCGGCGGCCTATGCTCCATTGGGAGTAACAGGCGTAAGTAAAGTAAGTAAGTAAGGAGAGTGACATAATGACGCAATCCTAGTTGTGTTACACAAAGTGTCTGACGCCGATTTTAACAATAGCTTGGATTATGCTTTGATCACTTATAATTTAATTACCCTACCATTGGAACGTAACCAGCTTTATGGTTTTCAGTAGTTAAAATGAAAAACGTTCTGTCAACCAAGTTTTCTGTGTGGTTATTGAATAAAGTGATTGAAATCGCGATACACAAGGTCGTGGGACAAGTGAACACATATTCCGCATTGATGATGAGTGCCATGGTACACATATTTTAAGTTTCGTGCTAAGTTACTGTAACCATTCAGTACCAAAATCACATTTATCAATTTGGTGGTTCATACCACTTTTTTATCTGATCTATTTCCATTCTTACTATCTATCAAATTCAGATGGATGTGGGGGCTTGCTGTTCATTGTGTTGTTCTTTGTCCGACTCTGATACCTAAGCTTCCTATGCTCGACTCGGACCGGCTGCATACGTGAGAAGGAAGCTTTTTGTGTAACTGAGTCAGGAGTATATATATATATATATATATATAATCTTCCCCTTAGAAAATTAAGTCTCCAATAATGCATGCAAACCATTTCTTGGCTAATCTTGTGCACTTGTCATTTGACTGATTTCTTATTGGCTCAAAGCATCACCTTCCCCTCCTCGAAATAAGTTTGACTTCTCGGGCTTAGGTGTAGGAGTTGAGGTTGGGAAATATTAATTTGTGCTACGTATGTCTAAACCACTTATCAATCCGGGCCTACAAGTTTATAAACTGATTTATCTCGTTTAAATAACACCACATCTATTCCCAATATTACTCGCTTGTTAGCTAGAAATTTTTCGAAAAAATATTTGAAGGAATTAGCATTCAAAGCCTATAGATATTTACACTTCCTCCACTTTTAATGGTGATATCTTACAAAGAAAAAGTTAGACAGCTTCCCGTTAACGACAAAGCCGATCCTTGACTGATATTTCAGTATCTTTCTAAATTCTGTATTGTACCAAAATATAATAATAATAATAATGATAAAACCACAAGTACCATAAGTTTATATATGGCAAACAGTCATTTTATGTCAACCGCTAAACCCTTCAAGTTTATTGTTAGCTGGTCAAAGTACTTATGTTCCTCAGACTCGATATAGACCACTGTTTAACACCAACTACTAGGTTCAAGAATTCAAACATTGCTTCCAAGTTGCGATTTTTCATCGTCCATACTTAGTAGGTTTATTGTGTTTGTGTTTCATGGTGGTCAGGAAAGACTGGTTTATAAGATATAGAGAGCAGAAATTACCCACATGAAATCTTATATTCTGTACATATGTCCTTACATTTTAAAAGGCACTTTTCTAGTTACGTTGGCAATCATTTTTATTTTTGTTGTTTTCAATATCAGTTTCAATAAATTAGTAGAGGAAAATCGTCCTGAGGATATACTGTCTAAAAACGAGTTTACAAGTATGGTGTCACAAATTTCAGCGGCTACTGGTAAGCCTATCTCGCTTGAACAATCAACAGGAGACATTAGTGATGAGTTGGAACCACCAATTTTAGGATCTACAAAGCCGGTGATCGAAGTATGAAATTTATTGACAATTCTTTAATTGTATTTTTTTCTCAAAGTTATTTTCATACTAAGTTGTTGTATGAAATACGGAAGTTTGTTTGGGTTGTTTTATTCTGCTACAGCCACTTTTTTGGGTGGATAATGGTTCGTTTTTAGAATTATTTAATGTATATTCCCGGAGACTTTCTTAGTGATGGGATTTAGGAGTTCGTTTCTTTCATGGTTTACATTTTTGTTCTGGATATGATATATCGTTACTGAAATGCTACGCTTTCATATAAGTCTGGTGAATAGTAATTCTTACTTGTAGGTTGTTAATTCATTATTCGCTTTTGGGGCATTCCACATAGGTCCAGGATTTCATAAAGCCATTTGAAATTTAGTCGTAGCCAGCCGATTATTTCAGCTTACGGGTGATATATTGAAGAGGAAGAATGTATTTGTAAAATCTCAGCGAAAGAATTTGAAGTAGATCCAACGTTTCGCCTGATAATCTGGTTTAAGCTTTTCCAAGGAAAATATAATCAAATTCTTTCGCTGAGATTTTACAAATACATTCTTCCTCTTTAATGTCTCACATTAACTCGGCGCCCAAATTTAGACGAGAGTTCTTATTTACGGGTGATATATTTTCATATTCTAATCAAAAGTTAGTTTCGAGTGTGTAGAATACTATATCATTTGGAAATTTAACTCATTAATTAGTACATCTAAGTTAAGTGTCGGATTAATTGTTAAGTTTTTAGTAATATTAAGAGATCCTAGCTTCTAGAGGAATCGCTGATTGGATGGTGATACTGTCATAGTGTTGTTTTCAATGTACATTATACTTTTCCAGCTAATTTATCATGAGTAGGTTGTTAGTTGATTCAACACTTCATTAGTTACAATTAGTTGCCTATTGAGACTAAGTATAAAGCTATATTTACAGTATTGGGGGTTATATTAACTAACTATTTTGGAGCATTGGTCGCCAACCAGAAATCTCTAATCAACTCTCTCATAGGTTCTTTCCAGTTGTTATCAGGTGGTATTCCTGATCTTGATATCAGCCTCCAATTCTTTTCCTTGAGGATTCGAGTTTAAGGCTTGTCTTGCGCTGCAGTTGGGTGGTTTCTGCAATGTATCATATCCATTCTCAGTATGTTTTCTTAATTTTCTCCTCAGCTAGCAATCGGTTTATTTTCCATCAGAGTAGGTTATTACTGGTCTCTGACCAATGAATCTGGAGTATCTTGTGTAGTTAGCTGTTTTTGTAACGGGGTTCCTTCTTACCAGGTGTGGTTACCGAGCCTACACACAACACTCCTCGTTTACCCGAGGTAAGGACTGACATTAACTAGCAACTTAGTTCGTGTTTATTGCATTCCGAACCGCAATCAGTTACTATTGATATACTTCGATTGGTGTAGCTCAATAGTTCGAGCTCTCCACTTAGCTGCTCTATTTATTTTATTTCGTCTAACCCGGATAGTATATCTAGTTCTCATATAATAATTCTGATTCAACCCTGAGTACATAAGTATATACTTAGTTACTAGGCTGTATTTATTGTCAATTAATCAGCTCGGGTTAATACTGTCATTTGTAGGATCAAACTGTGTACGCGAGTTATATACTGTATAGTTACTATATGTATTTTCATCACCGTCTCCCGTATATAGTATGGCGCAAACACTAGCTAATTGGTATTAAGGGGATATTAATAATGAGTAGCTAATACTCCTTGCTTGTTGGGTAAATTGTTATCTATATTTTTTAATTCAAAGGATTAGAAATCGTATTCATTTTGTTCGCAAAACCACAAATTCGATTGAAATGTAACGAAATGAATGCACTCCTGAAGTGAATGGATAATTCCTCTTGTATTTTACTACTTCTGCAGGCTTGTTCTTATATAGTATCCAACATTTTTATATTAGTTTGCTGCCTATATTTGTATAGAAGCAGTGTATTTTTGTATTCATTAGTGTCAACCCCGAAGAAACACATAATTTATCTACAAATTTCGTATATCATTTAGGTTTTAGTTTTTTCATTAGATTACACTCAATCGTGATGGGTACAACTTCATCCTTTTGTCAAACTACTAAGTTTATGTTTCATTATAGAAATTGGGAGGCTTAATATTTGTACTGAGTAGTTTAACATTTTTTCCTGAAATTTAAGTTTACATATTCATCAATCCACTATTTTCCTAGATAACAGATTCTGTCAGGGCGTCTATACGACAAATGATAATTGATTCACGTGAACAAATTTATCGGGCAACTTATATGCAGATTATGCGGCGGTGGTATTTTGAAGAAAAGGTATGTCATATATTCGTTGTTTCTGACTTATTACCACTATTTAAGTGTTCTGTGCGTTGGTATCATTACCAAGGTTTGACTTGATAATTTCGAATAAATTGAGCTGGTGGAGAAGATTTGTAGCTCAGGTGGATGATTTTGATGGAGTTTTGAACAAAACTCCATCAAAATAAATTGAGCATTGGGTAAATTGTTATAAAAAAATCAATATATTTTTAATACCCCAATGAGTAGAAAAATGAGATTTTCTGACGTTTCGTAACTCCGTGTACGCCATTTCTTCAGAGAATAGATAACCAAAACAAAAATTTTGATTTTGAGTGTGATGGGTTAATTTTATGTTTTTATATGTCTTTGTGCATTATTTAGATTCGACGTCCATATTTCCATGTGAAACCTCTTGAAGAAGTGCAACTAAATAACTGGGCTGAATATTTAAGTTTTGAAGAAGCAGAAGCTGGGACTGTAATTTCGCATATAAGAGAACAAATAAAAGTGACTAATCAGTTATCTGATGATAAATTAGAAGAAGCTGTTCTTGAATATCCTGAAGTAAAACTTGCTAAACGTCGTGTTCGTGTCCTTTATGAGCGTTGTCTTGTTGCTTGTGCTCTATATGAACACTTTTGGATACGTTATGCAAAATATTTAGAGGTATTATTTTATTTTAGAACTTTTGAAATTTACAGATATTGTATTGTTTTAAAATAATGTTCAGTTACATTTACGGTCTATTTTTTTGTATTATATTTTACAATCATTTGTTCTATGCTTTGGTTACCTAGTCTTATTTTGTTTACGTCATTGATGATACTTTCTTTTTGAAGCATTAAATCCTGTTAAGGTTGTCTAGTTTCATCTCGTTTAGTTTCTCTGTTGATTTTACTCAAATTTTAAGTTTATGAATGAGCATATACACATCCGTACCCAGAAGTTCTATTGAAATAGATAATTTTCAATAAATCTTGTGAACGAAATCATCTAGATTATTGTCTTTTAAGCAGTTTACGTACATTAAGATTTTTTCGTGCAGTGTTAAACTGTAAATTTCATACACATAGTTCTCTTTATCATCATGAAAAGAGCACGATCAGTAAATCATGGAGAATTCTGTGGGGGGGGTGACATTGTATGCAACTTGCATAACTTATGACATTGCGTTTGAAATTATGGATGATAATTGAACGCATTTGTTTTTATTTTAGTATACTGAAGGAGATATACCTGCTGCACGTGAAGTATGGCGACGTGCTTGTATCACTCATTTGCCATACAAGCCAACAATTCATTGGCATTGGGGTTGTTTTGAGGATAGATATCCTGCATGTTTAGACAATCCTCAAAAATTTGAAGTCCTTACTTGTCTCGATATTTTGACAGACTTGGAGAAACGCTTAACGGATAGTGCTCTTGTATGCTGTAGACGAGCAGATGCTTTAAGAAGAGCAGGCAAACCAGTAAGTTTTAGAATTGAACATATTCTTATCTATGGGGTATGGAAATTCATTTTCTTTGTTTTTATGTATTTTGTTTTTATATTGATGCATTGTAACAATGTTAACAGACATCCTTTTATTTAGGAAAGTTTTTTTATGATGATGCGATAGTGAACAATAACCTGAGATACATTTCCTACAGCCAATATTGTAGTGCATTTGATACATTATCTGTACTTCTTTTTTTCCATAACATACTTGATGTATTTGAATGTAACTGACAGTTAATTATTCTCTAGTAGAAAGTCAGTCAGTCAGTTATGAGGAAAATAGAACTCAACACACCAAAATGAAATTATCGAGAAAAAATCTTAATATAGAAGGATTAATAACAATATATTTGTAATGGAAAAGATTAAGTGAATACATGATCCGTGAAAAAGAGAATGATGTTGTGAGACAGAAAAGTGTAGGACAATATGAGATAAATGAGATCTTCTTACGCCTGTTACTCCTCGTAGAGGAGCAGAGACCGCCCATCGGTATTCTCCATCCAACTCTGTCCTGAGCAATCCTTCCCAGTTGTTATCCATTCTTTTCATATCTGCTTCCAATTTCCAACGAAGTGTGTTCTTTGGTCGTCTTCTTTTCCGTTTTCCTTCAGTATTCCAAGTTAGTGCTTGCTTTGTGATGCAGTTTGATTATTTCCTCAATGTATATCCTATCCACTTCCAGTGTCTTTTCCTAATTTCCTCAGCTGGAAGTTGTTTTGTTCTCTCCCACAGTAGGCTGTTGCTGATGATATCCGGCCAACGGATATTGAGTATTTTGCGTAGACAATTATTTATAAATACTTGTACTTTTTGATGATGGTTGTAGTAGTTGTTCAAGTTTCATCTCCGTACAGTAGAACTGTCTTGATGTTCGTGTTGAAGATGGTGTCTTTGATATTAGTTGACAGTTGTTTTGGGTTCGGTGTGTTCTTCAATTGTAGGAATGCTGCCCTCGGTTCGCCGATTCTCGCCATATGAGATCTAAGGGAAGAGAAATATTGAATACATCTACGCCATTTCGACCAATTCTGAGTCGCCTGTCAACGCCTTCAAACATTGGTTATAATAATTGTACGACCCTAGCCACGTAGCTTTCGTTTATTAACATGACTATTAGGAAGCAATTATAAGGTTACATCTAAATAGTCAGTCTATCTTTAATGTGGGCAAACAGTGGTAATAGGTATAGAAGAATTTCATCTAATCGTAAAAAATTGTAGGATTCAGATATTGATAAGGTCACAATTTATTTTTGTCATTGTTTAGATATTTTTAACTAGTGGTAGATGCACAATTATTGATTATTATTTGGTCTACCCTTATAAAGCTGAATTGTTTTTTCTAAACTCCACAGTTTATGGGGATCACTTCTTATGATGTAGTATTAATGTTTTTTGTAGTTCGAGATAGTCACTGTGATGAAGGCATTACATATAAGAGCGATTCTCGATTTTTGCTTACAGTGGTTATCAAATGTGCAGGTCGTTATATGAGTTTGCATTGTATGATTTTTTACAATAGTGCTTATAAACTCACTTGTGCCCAAGTTACATTCGATCACTAGCTAAATGCTCTCTGGTTTTCATTGACTTTAATGACTACTTGAGTTTTGACTTATTTCGGAATTGCAGTCTTTCGGGGACAGATCTATTGGTCATGCTATTCAAGTTTTAAATCCCCAGTGGTTTAGTCATGTTTGTTGAGTTGTACTTACATCCACATTCAAAATGAGTGCTTTCCAGGAAATAAGTGGCGTAGATATTGCACTTACACACTATGTTTCTGTTATGTTATCATTCTCATTTAATAATTTTGAAATAAACTTACTTTTGTTATTACTATATTCGTTTCCAGCTGTTCGATATTATTGCTTGTTTGCGAAATGGTATCAATCGGCTTCGTTATCTAGTTCAGGAGCAAAATAAAGTAGCACAATGCGTTTCTGGAGCTACCGCTTCTCGCACCGTAGCACAAGCTATTGCTACTGCAGCACAAGCTCGTGCAGGAGCGGGTGTTCTTGCTGGTCGTCTTGCTCGATTGTTTCATCGCAACGAATCACTAGCCCCAGACGGAATACCTGTATGGATGTTGTTGCTCAGTACGAAATATGAAGAGGAAGAGGATGAGTCGATGATAATTGACCTACCTAAAATCGAAGAAACTAATTCCAAAGAAAAAATTGTGGGAGCAGAAAGTAATGATAACCTCACTGAGAAATCAGATGAATCTTCCAAATCTCCTAGGGCTACGAAAGTCGACGAAGAAAATATTACTGATAAAGCAAAAGAAGCCACTACTCTAACTAGCGACCGTGAATCTGATTCGGATATTGAAGCTGCCTCGTCTGATAACGATGTGACAATGGATGAAGAAACTGATGAGGAAAGCTCCGAGAAGCCAGTAGTGGATGCAACGACGACATCCAACAAAGATGAGCTCACAAATGGGGATGATTTAGACGAATCTGGCTCTCCTCCCATCCTAGTTGTTCCTTGTTCACAAAAAAAGAAGAAGCATCATAAGCGTAGGCACAGGGAAAGCAAAAAGTCGAAGCGAAAACATAGTTCTAGCAAAAAACCGAAATTGGAAGATGAAGGTTCTGAAAAAGAGGATAAAGATGAAGAAAATGCTGAGGACGTATCAGGGGATGAATCAAAACCAGTTCCTGAGGTTGACCAAACAGCTGAAGAAGAGGAACGTATACGTATACTTCTTAACAGACGACACAAAGTAATTGAGATTCACGCCCCTTCTCCATCGGAACTTACGGACGAGGATCGTGTCGTTATTTCTTGCGAAGAAGCAGCTATTAAAGTTCTTAAAGAAGCCATTGATTATGACCCAGTGAGTCTTTTTGTCAGTCGCACTGTAGTTTATAACTTTGACATTTGTCATAACGACCAGAAGCTGTAAACTAGATATATTAGGATTCTTTCATATGATCTCAGTTAATATCAGTAATAGAATTATTTTCAGTGGATGTGGTTCTTTATTTTTATCTCTGAAGTATGATTTTGTTTCATTTCAAAGACCACTGTATTTATAAAAGGAGATCTTGATCGTTTGTAGTAGTAAATTCGACCGATTTATTCTTAAATTCTTAAGTCACGCAGCAGTTCGTTTACTTAAATACCACACATTACCTATGCTGTATGTGTTGTTCCAATCAGTACATGAATTAAATGTTTCTGTCTTTGGATAAGGGGTTATTGTAAACTAATATTCGATATTGATATCAATATGATGTCTTAAATTAGGTTGAGTACCTATCGGTGTTCTTTTTATAATAACCTCATGCAAGGGGCAATCCACTGTTTAAAGTACTCAAATTTTAACTACCAGTTTGAAACCCTTCCCATCTACTTAGGTTTAAATAACTGGGTAGTATCAGTAACTATCATGTATTGTAGATTGAAGGGGATTTTATTTATTTATTTATTTTAACACATAAATATCGGTACAAGAAGGCACCAAATACATATGCGCCACACAGATCTCATTTGATATGTGTGAGGGCTGTGATACTGCCCGGGTGCCCAAACCGAAGCAGGTGGTTTTCTTAGGGGGCCACACCCCGAGCCTTCGACCTGAAGATCTGATCCACAAGGCAGTGGAGCATCGTAAGGAGATGCAGTCCCATGGTAGCCGGTGACCATCGATTGGTTCATACGCCATTTGTTCCTTCAGGCAGGATACTGGAGCCCATGTGCACCATCGATTTGGGATCCGGTTATAGCGCCGGACATCCGCTTTTCATCCTCTCATTTTCGTAAACAACAACCCCGCCACGAGAAGGCAGTGAGTAGGACTTCCCTGGCAGGGGCTGTATACGCGTGGCCATATGAGAGCATTTCGAGAGGGGGAGCGGACTCCCCCCACTCTCGGCCATACCAGGGCATTTGGGGGCGAAGGGGATTATGTGAACATGTGACTGATTTATTTATTTGCATTTGATTCACTCGTCTGTTTATTCAACTTGATTTCTAATTGAAGCATCAATCTAACTACCGTAGTTAAGATGAATACACACTACACTTAATCTTCAGTGTATAGTTCATGAACTTACCTGTAATTATTGCGTTACATCACTATTCGTATTATAAATAAAGATGTCGGTGATTTAATTTCCACTTTTACACAATGCTTGTTTTCTATTTTTTTGATAAAAGCGTAACGAGCGGTTATATGCTCAGTTACTTGATATCATATATCAACGTAGGCCGGTTGATATTGAAGGATTTATTGAAGCCACTAATCTTGCCACAATTGATTCAGTTTTGCCAGCGCATATCAAATTGGCTTTCTGTCAACGTAAGCTACAATTTTTAGAAGAATTCGATACTGATTTATCTAGGTAAGTCATACTTAACGTTTTATGTCTTGTTGATTAACTAAAGACTTCTATTTTGCACTTTAAGAGCCGACTTTCATACCACGCCACGGACCTTTAGTATGGCCCCTTATCTCGCTCCGATTAGATCATTTATTGATTGTTGTTGAAATATACATCCCAACTACCCTCGTATATTTTATTGACTTAATCCGTGTTAGTGAACAACAGAAATAACCCAAACACGAGAATGAATTTTGAATACGTATATTTCATACAATCGTTGATCCAAACAGACGATCATAGATTCGAAACGGGATGGTGCGTAGTGGAGAAGGCGAATGAGTAAACTTCATTTAGTCAAGCGTTACTCAATATTTATGGCCCCCAAATGCCCTGGTATGGCCGAGAGTGGGGTGGGTTCGCCCTCCCTCTCGAAATACTCTCACACGGCCACGCGTATATAGCTTCTTCCAGGGAAGTCCTACTCACTGCCTTCTCGTGGCGGGGGTGTTGTTTACGAAAATGAGCGGACGAAAAGCGAATGTCCGGCGCTATAACCGGATCCCAAATCGATGGTGCACATGGGCTCCAGTATCCTGCCTGAAGGAACAAATGGCGTATGAACCAATCGATGGTCACCGGCTACCATGGGACTGCATCTCCTTACGATGCTCCACTGCCTTGTGGATCAGATCTTCAGGTCGAAGGCTCGGGGTGTGGCCCCCTAAGAAAACCACCTGCTTCGGTTTGGGCACCCGGGCAGTATCCCAGCCTACTCACTAAAACATGATGAACTATTTACTTATGGAAAATATTCTTTTCGCTCCGATTTACGCTGAAATGACTCGCACCACTATTATTATTATTATTGTTATTATTATTATCGTTATTATTATTATTGTTATTAATTTTTTGTTATTATTATTATTATTATTTACCACGTCATCTATTCACTCTCTTTTATTTCCACTCTGTCCATCCTTATTTTTCGACTTATACAGCAGCTCGCCTATGGTGGAAATTCGGCTCTATCTAAACGCTCTCGAGTCACTGCCTGGTTGGAAATTGTATGTTACCACCGAATACGAGTACTGACGCAGATTTTCTGAAACCACGTGCACCATTCAAACTGGCTGCCTTCAACGTTCGCACACTTATGCAGGTCGGACAACAGATAGGGCTGGCTATGTCTTTGGAAAGTCTTAATATTGACGTGTGTTGTCTATCCAAGACCCGTATTCAAGACTCTTGTGAAGTACTACAAGTTCGCTCTCCATCTGTCACTTCAAAAACCTTGTTTTATGTGCGTTTATCCGGGGACCCTGTGGCATCTTCGTCTGGTCTTGCTGGTGTTGGTGTCGCACTAAGCGCTAGAGCTGAGGCAGCACTAATCGACTGGATCCCTATTAACAGTCGGTTATGTGCTGTTAGATTAGAAAGTTCCATCAAAGTGAGAAGAAATTGGCGTGAGAAACGATGTCTTTTTGTCATCTTCGCCTATGCCCTGACAGATTGCAGCCCGGATGCAATCAAGGACGAGTTCTACCACCAGTTAACTGTTCTTCTCCAGAAAGTGCGTTCGACAGATATTGTAGTACTAGCTGGAGACTTGAATGCTCAGGTCGGGCGTCTAGGCACAGAAGAGAGTCGTTTAGGTGGCCGATGGGGACTTGTTGGTCGCAGGACAGATAACGAGGAACGTCTACTGCAACTATGCACAGACCACAACCTGTTTCTGGCTAGCACTAACTTTCGGCACAGTCATTGCCAATGTGACACCTGGCGTCCTCCTTCTGCATCTCAAGCCTGGACTCAGATTGATCACATCGCGATCAGCTACCGCTGGCGTGGTTGTGTACAAGACTGCCACTCCTTTTGGAGTACCTATCTGGAATCTGATCATGCTCTGGTCTGCGCCAATCTTACCTTACTTTTCAGTGGACAACGAAGTGACCGCCACCAAAGGATTGATGTTAGCAAGCTGGCTGCAACTTCTGTTGCTAGTAAGTACCGAACCGAGCTAGCTTCTAGACTAGCTACCATTCCACCGAAAAGTATAGATGAGCATTGGTTGCAATTGCATGACGCCATGAAAATGGCGGGTACAGTCTGTTGTGGGTTTGCGAAACGTCCCGCCCACAAGCACTGGGTTTCTTCTGGTTCCTTACAACTGATTGAAGCCCATCGGTCTACTCCGGGTGACCGTGAGTTTGACCACAGACGAAGGATGTTACGTAATGAAATCGGGCAAAGCTTGCGTGAGGACCGAGAAGCCTGGTGGTCGGAGCGTGCTAATGAGCTGGAAGCGGCAGCTGCATCTGGTAATTACCGACAGCTCTTCCAACTCATCCGAGCCACTGGCAGCAAGAAGTCTGGTGTGAGCGAAACAATCTGCGAAGATGACGGAACGCCAATCACTAACATCCATCGACGTCTTGGACGATGGGCAGAATTCTTCGAAGGGCAGTTCAACTGGCCTGCTGCTCCGGCAACATCGGTCAGACTGTCCTGCCCTCCATGGCATGTGACGACTGATCCACCAAATGAGACGGAAGTCCGCAAGCAATACCAACTCTTGAAGCGCTACAAATCACCGGGTCCAGATGACTTACCTCCGGCTCTTTTTAAAAATGGTGGTGACTTTATGGCAAAAGAACTGACAACGATGTTTACAAAGGTCTGGAAACTAGAGAGTGTACCAACGTTATGGAATGAGTCGATAGTTGTCCCTATCTTTAAAAAGGGTTCACGTCGTTACTGTAACAACTATCGGGGGATAAGTCTATTTCCGATTGCATCCAATCTATTGGCTTCCGTCATACTTCGTAGGTTGTTCAAAACCCGAGAAGGATTGACTCGCGAGGAGCAGGCTGGGTTTCGTTCCGGTCGAGGATGTATTGATCATATCTTCACCCTCCGCCAAATGTTAGAACACCGCCATACTGATCAAACGCCAACAATCGTAGTGTTTCTTGACATCAGGGCTGCCTTCGATTCGTTGGACAGAACTGTTCTCTGGGATTGTCTATTGAAGAAGGGTGTGCCTGAGAAGTTTATTAACATCCTAAAAGCCCTATACAGTAACACCTCAGGCAGAGTGAGGGCATACAACCACCTCTCTCCATTGTTCCATTCAAGCAGTGGAGTTAGGCAGGGTTTCCCAATCTCACCATTCCTCTTCAACTTTGCCATCGATGACATTCTGTAAACAGCTCTGATGGATGTAAGTAATGGTGGTGTGGATCTGTTGCCTGGAGGAAGACTTCTCGACCTTGAGTATGCGGATGATATTGTCTTACTGTGCGATAATGCCCAAGCCATGCAATCTGCACTTAATCAGTTGGCAATCAATGTCCGTAGGTACGATATGTGTTTTGCACCTTCTAAGTGCAAAGTACTTCTACAAGACTGGCAGGACCCTGATCCTGCACTCACCGTGGGCAGTGAGCAGATAGAAGTAGTCGAGAAGTTCGTGTATCTGGGTAGCTGCATAAGTGCTGGTGGTGGCGTGAGTGACGAGATCAATGCACGTATAGTGAAAGCCAGAGCGGCTTATGCCAATCTGGGCCATCTTTGGCGCCTTCGTGATGTTAGTCTGGCTGTAAAAGGTCGGATCTACAACGCGTCGGTGAGAGCAGTTTTGCTCTATGCTTGTGAAACCTGGCCTCTCCGAGTTGAGGATGTTAGACGAGTCTCTGTGTTCGATCATTGTTGTCTCCGAAGGATTGCTGACATTCAGTGACAACACCATGTTAGTAATGCAAAGGTTCGGCATCATGTGTTCGGGCACAGACACAGACGATAATGCAATTGGTGTCACCATCTTGAAACACCGACTTCGGTGACTTGGACATGTTCTACGAATGTCGTCCCAGAGAATTCCACGTCGTGCATTATTTGACGACTCTGGGACTTGTTGGAAAAAGCGGAGAGGTGGTCAGTATATGACATGGTGTCGTGGTATGAAAGAAAGCTGCAAAGGGCTGGCTTCTGTTGGTCCTTCACGACTCCCTGGTTGGGGTCCTAGAGATGGTGTAACACAGTGGCTGGAGACGTTATCAGATGTGGCTCAGAATAGAAGCCAGTGGCGATCCTGCTGTAACCTTCTTTTACTTTCTTCATAAAAAGCGGTTGCCTCTTCCTTAACTGGAAGATTTCTTCTGATTGTACCTTTCCGTTTCCCCCATTATTGTTCCTTTTTTTTCTCATTTCTCTTCAAATTATCATTGTTTTGTGTGGCGCATATATATTTGGTGCCCCCTTGTACCAATATTTGTGTTCAAATAAATAAATACAAAAATAAGCTAGATATGTAATCAGTAATATAAGCAGTTCACACAAGCCCACATAAAAAGTCAAGGTTGGTAAACAAATAATTCATTTGGTCAACGTGTAACTCAAGAAGAATGAATAAATAGGCTTGTGCGGAAGCTAGAATAATCCATGTGGGCTCAACTAGACACCATAGACTAACTTGATAATTCAAATAAATTAGTGCCAATTTATCTAATTGAAAGCACTAAATAACACCAGTTCATATATTTATAGAGAATCTTCAGTAACATCATGGTGCTTATCGTAAACAGATCCAAAAGTCTGACGCACACTACCTACCCCCTAATCTTTGTGTACTGTGATGGATGCAATGGTAAAAGCGAGTACAATATTCACAACTTGTGGTTTTTGAAGAGCTATTCATATTATCATCATATTTCTGATTCACAGTATTTTATTACAGAATATACGTATCCAGTTCAGCATTACCTAGTTGCATTGTTTCTATTTCGTAATAAAAAAAAGAAACAGTCTTTCGGTTATAATTGAAATTTTTACTCAGTTTTTTGGATGTTTGCTTTAATATGTTTCGATTCATGTTTAAATTCAGGTTAAATGCTACATATGAAGAATACATGAGTCTTTGTGATGCAATCAATACTGGTGTAACCACATCAGCTATTGCTCGTGGAGCTAGCAGACTTATAAGTGGTTACCAGCTGCCAGATCTTTTAAATTTGCCAACAACTTCTCTCAGAGTTAGTTCAGTAATTGGAGCAAATCCCTGTGAAATGGTAGTTTCTGCTGCACCAGTTGGTCGTACACCTTGTTTAAATACTGACCAATCAGCTTTGGAAGCTGCTGCTTCAGTTGGAACACCAGCACCAGATCCATCCACAGCCGCTGGTTATTACACTGCTGGAGGATATGAACCATTGGCTGCCGCTCTTGGCAATACATCTGGGCTTCCACCTCCTGTCCCAACAGGTATACCCGTTATGACACCTTCAGTTGCAATTCTTCCCGGTGTGGTAAGTTCAAAGTATTTTTATTTTGAGTTTACTTTTATTACAATCAATCTCCTATTTCGCTGCCGATCTTTATTTTGTAAGTTCTTGATATGTTTCATCGCTATTTGTATTGTAATTTTAATTAGTAAAGTTTGTTGTTACTGTTTAATACGTTCCGAATCTGTTGCTTTTTAAAAGTCGTTTTCTTGTAGTTAATTTTTTCAAAAAATGATTTATTTTTGACATAGACAACTGATCATGTTCTTGTTTCCATTTTAGTCGGATACATCGACTTCAGGTGCGGCTGGTTTAACAGCCGACGCATACGCAACTTATTACTATACTGCAACAACTGGCGCTTCGTCTGTTCTCGCGCCAGTCATTGTTCCAGCAGCAGTAGATGTCAATTTGTCCGCATCATCAGGGGTTACCTCATCGATAGTAACTTCAGTAACCACATCTCTGTCATCAACGATATCCGTTGGACAATAATTTCATAACAATGTGCCACATTTGGTGTTTTTTCTAATGGCTTTTGATGCTTTCCACCTTATGTTTATTACATATTTTTACGAAATCATTTTGTTGTGGTTTGCTAAATATATATGTATCTATAAGATGGTTTACATTCGTTGCTCATTGCATGTGTTACTATCTGTATCGTTTTGTGGGAACTGTAATTACATTAACCTGATCTCGGGCTTTTTCGATTAGATGATGTGGTTCGTGGATCTACGATAAACTTTGTGTATTTTTTGATTAGTTTTTATGGTCTGCTAAAGTTTTTTTAGATTATGTTTATTCATAATAGATTTCGTATTTTGTATAGGTTCAATTTACGACCCCAAATGCCCTGGCACGGCCGAGGGTGGGGAGAGTCCTTTTTCCCTCTCGAAACGGCCACATGTATACAGCCACTACCAGGGAATCCCTACTCACTGCCTTCTCGTGGCGGGGGTGTTGTTTACGAAATTGAGAGGATGAAAAGCGAAAGTTCGACGCTTTAATTGGGTTAGTGAACATGAAGGATCCACCTAGAGGAGTCGGAAAATCCTGATTCCAAACCAATGTTGCACATGGGCTCCAGTATCCTGAGGGAACAAATGAACCAATCGTTGGTCACCGGCTACCATGAGGCTGCATCTCCAGACGTTGTTCCATTTTGTTGGGAATCAGGCCTTTGGGTCGAATGCTCCGAGTGTAACCCCCTGAGAAAACCATTTGCTTCGATCTGGGCACCCGGGCAGTGTATCACAGCCTACATACAAATCAAGTGACTTACGTGGCACATATTTATCCGGTGCCCCTTTTTACCAATATTTATGTGTTCAAATCAAATCAATTTTAAGTCATAAAACATAGTATGTGAACTTTGTCTAACATAATTAAGAAGGATTTTTCTCTGAATTTCTGTGCTGCAGTATCAGGAAATTTGACTATTTACCAAGTGAGCCTTCTTTCATCATTAATCACTTACCTCTCCGTTAAGTAGTATTAACACTACCCCGTCAAAAATCACATTTTAACCCCTCTTCAGAAATAATCTTATCCATCAGTTTCTGTTATATTCCTCGTTGTTCACTGAATCTGCTTTTCAGATCTTTAGATTTTTCAAAATTTGGACTTCATTTCAATTGGGAGTAGAATTACACGAAGTGAAACCTAAGACTTATAGCTACTTTGGTAAACCTGTTGTTTATTCTGTGTTCGAAAATCCAATGGTATTTTTTCTCAGAATTTTGTGTGAAAGGATAATGATCAGCTTGTCAAATAACTCATTTCTGACTCGACATTTCCCGAGAATGGTATTTGTTTTTGGTTGAATTGTAACAGCATATTGGATATTATTGACGATAATCATCTGTCAGATTCATCTGATAACTTTGTAACTTTGTGGTCCTGTTCTCGTAATATTGATCTGAGAATTTGCAGAACGTTTGCTCATGCATGTTGAGCTTTGACGGTTAACAAATACAGTTTTGTGACCTGAAATATTAGTGCTTTTGTCTTGTTATTTTTTGAAACATCCACATAGCAATAGTAACATAACAATAAAAATATAGAGTGATGTTCGGTTATGTTTTTGATTATTTACGAGGTAAAATACTAAATGTTAAAATTTTCATTACTTTTTTTCATGGTCAACCTGTAAGAGATAGGTTGGGATACATTGTGTTTATGAAATCAAGATTAGTGAAATTTCAAGTTCATCTGATAAGCCATCAATTCATTATGCTTCAGACATGCAATATTTTGTCATTTATTTGATAGTTAAGTAGACGTTGATGTTTGAAGATAATAAACAAAAGACCTTGAATTTATTACGTCTTTGTGAAGCCATTGCTATGAAAAATATTTAAGCTGAATCTAGACATTCTGAAGGACAGTTTTAGTTTGTCTTGTTGACTCAAGTATTAACAATTGGTTATGTGACCGAGGTTTTTTACAAACTCCTAGCTATATTTTCCCCTACAAAGTACCTAACGCAGATTATTATTTGTCCGTTTTTAGGTCTCGTTAGTTCTATCACCCTCTTTGATGAGGATTTATTGTTAATTCCTGCATTGGAACGCTAGTTTAACGTAAATTTATTGCACACTATAATATGTCTACTTGAAGTCGTATAAGTAGTGTGACTTTACGAAGGTAATTTTTGGTTTTCATCTTAGGAAATCACTTGTCTTCCACACGGTTTAGAAATCATTAAGTGAAATAGAGTAGTAGTTGATGAATATCTTATTTATAATATTACTAACTCGGTTCCCTCACCGTGTATTCTTATTTCCACTAAAATCTTTCGTTCGAACTTAGTTCAAGTGACCACAGTTTTATAACATACAGTTTCTACGTTAAACAATAGTTGTCCCTATCTTTATATAGGGTTCACGTCGTTACTGTAACAACTATCGGGGGATAAGTCTATTTCCGATTGCATCCAATCTATTGGCTTCCGTCATACTTCGTAGGTTGTTCAAAACCCGAGAAGGATTGACTCGCGAGGAGCAGGCTGGGTTTCGTTCCGGTCGAGGATGTATTGATCATATCTTCACCCTCCGCCAAATGTTAGAACACCGCCATACTGATCAAACGCCAACAATCGTAGTGTTTCTTGACATCAGGGCTGCCTTCGATTCGTTGGACAGAACTGTTCTCTGGGATTGTCTATTGAAGAAGGGTGTGCCTGAGAAGTTTATTAACATCCTAAAAGCCCTATACAGTAACACCTCAGGCAGAGTGAGGGCATACAACCACCTCTCTCCATTGTTCCATTCAAGCAGTGGAGTTAGGCAGGGTTTCCCAATCTCACCATTCCTCTTCAACTTTGCCATCGATGACATTCTGTAAACAGCTCTGATGGATGTAAGTAATGGTGGTGTGGATCTGTTGCCTGGAGGAAGACTTCTCGACCTTGAGTATGCGGATGATATTGTCTTACTGTGCGATAATGCCCAAGCCATGCAATCTGCACTTAATCAGTTGGCAATCAATGTCCGTAGGTACGATATGTGTTTTGCACCTTCTAAGTGCAAAGTACTTCTACAAGACTGGCAGGACCCTGATCCTGCACTCACCGTGGGCAGTGAGCAGATAGAAGTAGTCGAGAAGTTCGTGTATCTGGGTAGCTGCATAAGTGCTGGTGGTGGCGTGAGTGACGAGATCAATGCACGTATAGTGAAAGCCAGAGCGGCTTATGCCAATCTGGGCCATCTTTGGCGCCTTCGTGATGTTAGTCTGGCTGTAAAAGGTCGGATCTACAACGCGTCGGTGAGAGCAGTTTTGCTCTATGCTTGTGAAACCTGGCCTCTCCAAGTTGAGGATGTTAGACGAGTCTCTGTGTTCGATCATTGTTGTCTCCGAAGGATTGCTGACATTCAGTGACAACACCATGTTAGTAATGCAAAGGTTCGGCATCATGTGTTCGGGCACAGACACAGACGATAATGCAATTGGTGTCACCATCTTGAAACACCGACTTCGGTGACTTGGACATGTTCTACGAATGTCGTCCCAGAGAATTCCACGTCGTGCATTATTTGACGACTCTGGGACTTGTTGGAAAAAGCGGAGAGGTGGTCAGTATATGACATGGTGTCGTGGTATGAAAGAAAGCTGCAAAGGGCTGGCTTCTGTTGGTCCTTCACGACTCCCTGGTTGGGGTCCTAGAGATGGTGTAACACAGTGGCTGGAGACGTTATCAGATGTGGCTCAGAATAGAAGCCAGTGTCGATCCTGCTGTAACCTTCTTTTACTTTCTTCATAAAAAGCGGTTGCCTCTTCCTTAACTGGAAGATTTCTTCTGATTGTACCTTTCCGTTTCCACCATTATTATTATTACACTATCTACTGATGTGCAATTTGTGTATGCTGCCTCAATATTGCTTTAATTTACAAACAGTAATAGCAAAGATGGATAGTGGCTGGCAGTGGAATCCAGGACACAAGCAAGTGGCTATCAGGACTCAGTAGCTAAGTGTATAACGCCATGGTGGTACTGGGTTCGAGTCCCAGAATGAACATCAAATTTGCGATGCAAGTACATCCAGCTGACGAGTCCGAAACAGGACTAAACGCGCGTCTTGCATTCTACTGCTAGCCACTATCCATCTTTGCTTATAAATTTATTTATATTTATTTTTTTTTTTGATAGAGAAAACAATTCACCATGATAAAAATGAACAGATTATTGGATTTATTACAATATTAAATTTTGGACAAAAAAATTAAAATAAGCTTAAGATGGAAATAAAAAAATTAAAAAAAACAACATATGGCAATCATAACTGAATAAATTTTGGGTGTTAACTGTATTCCTTTTATTATTATTATTATTATTATTATTATTATTATTATTATTATTATTATTATTATTACTATTCGAATTGATCGATTTTTTCGAATTATAATCGTTTATTTCAAGCCTAGGTAAAGGTATGACATATTTATTTGACTTTGTTTTTTTCCCCTTGAATATTATTATTAAGTTGAATAGTGAAAGCCTGAAATAATAATAAAAAAATGAATATAAACTATTCATGTCCATATAAAAAACATTATTTAAATAGTGATATTATGACTGATCATTTTAAAATCAATATTAACTTATAAGTATCATTACCATGGTTTGACTTGATAATTTCGAATAAATTGAATATTGAATAGATTGTTATTAAATAAAAATAATATATTTGTATTATTTGAATGAGTAGAAAAATTAGATTTTCTGATGTTTCGTGACTTAATGTAAGTCGCTTCTTCAGAGAATAAATAACCAAACTTGAATTAATTTTGATTTGGTTATTTATCAGTGTTAACTTGTTTATTTACAAAGAAACATTTTAGAATAATAATGTATTTATAGCTGGCGACTTTAGTTTCATAGGAGTAAAATAATATATTAGGATTGCTATCATTTCTTTGTAGTTATTTTCCAATCAAATAAACGTTGACATATTTATGTATATTAACTTCATATTAGTTAGTTAATCGATGAGTAAATTAAAGTGATATTTTTGTTTTGAATGTTGAATGTTTCGTAAACTTCGGTATAGCATTTCAGAGAGTTACAGAGAACATCTTCTTACAACGATCAAACGTTCTGGTGAGTGCCGTAAGCTTATGATGAAAAGCTATGGTTGTTGTTCTGTATTAGTGAGGATATGAAATATATTCTATCTCTCATTTTAATATCCCATTCACTAGTTGGTTGATTGCTAATGATCTGAATTTGCGAGGACATTAGCGCACACAATCTTAACAATAAGTAAAACTATGGGGCAACCAAGTAGTTTAACTTCTGAACACTTCCTGAAATATTTCGAATTGAAACATAAGGCGGATATTACTAAAACGTAGGAGTATTTGGGAAGAGATAAGACTGATTCATCCAGGATTTTGTAAAATTAAGTTTTATGATATATTTGTTGGATAGGCTACTATTCTGAAAGTAGTTCTTCAGTAAATCTATTCCTTCTATATAAATCAATTTCTTAATCATTAGGGTTGTTAGTTCGCATGCTTCTTCACTCAATCTATGCTATTTAGCCTGATGATGATGCTGACTCTTACCTAAAATGTATGATTTGAAGCCAATTACTTAGGTCTTTATTAGGTAACAATGATGCCGAAAAATAAACAGACAAACAAAAACATCCATAAATGAAGTTATTGAGTGCTGGACTGAAACATATCGGGAAGTCCAGACTTTTATAAAAGACTCCAGAAATATTATAATTATGTCAACAAATGGAGAGAAAATCAATGATATCTTTGATTCATTATAAATTATGACCATATATATATATATATATATATATATATATATATATATATATATATATATATATATATATATATATATATATATATATATATATATATATATATATATATGCGTAAAGGACTGATCGGTAACATGAGGACTAATAGTGGTGTTAAAGCTCCATGAAGACAATCACTATTAGACTGAATCATGTAGGTAGGTGCAGACTGCCTGTTTGTGGTTCGCATGATTATTGTAACCAATGGTTGGAGGTTTTAGGCGATAGGGCTCTAAATCTTACGTAATGAAGCTGGTTTATTCACTCTTCATCTCCCACTGGATTTTAAGCCTTTAAATCACCTTTTAAATCATTTTATATTCCACTAATCCGTGTTTTTTCTTCTACTTTAATCTTTGATGTCTAGGCTTTTTTAACTCCATTATTAGTGTTACGACGTCGACTACTCTGGGATTTACTTACTTACTTACTTACGCCTGTTACTCTCAATGGAGCATAGGCCGCCGACCAGCATTCTCCAACCCACTCTGTCCTGGGCCTTCTTTTCTAGTTCCATCCAATTCTTGTTCATTTTTCTCATATCTATCTCCATTTCTCGGCGTAATGTATTCTTTGGTCTTCCTCTCCTCCTTCGACCTTAAGGATTCCATGTGAGGGCTTGTCTTGTGACGCAGTTCGGTGCTTTCATCAACGTGTGTTCTATCCACTTCCAGCGCTTCTTCCTGATTTCTTCCTCCACTGGGATCTGATTTGTTCTCTCCCACAGTAGGTTGTTGCTAATAGTGTCCGGCC